ATATATATACATGTGTTATAAACTGTGAATAATATGCAAGAACTGCAGATCATTTTTAAATGCCTTACACAATTTACTCAAAAGAACTGCTTAAGGGGAGATTTCAAGCAGCTATTTGCAATAATTGATGTCACTAAAAGACATAGCATGCACTATAGTCAACTTTAGGTAGTTACGTGGTATGTGTGTGTGTATGTGCTGGTACTGAACTCAGGGCCTTGACACCGTTAGCTTTTTCACTCAAGGCTAAGGATCTACCACTTGAGCCACAACTGCACTTCTGGCTTTTGGGGCTAAGGATCTACCACTTGAGCCACAACTGCACTTCTGGCTTTTGGGGCTAAGGATCTACCACTTGAGCCACAACTGTACTGCTGGCTTTTTGGTGGTTATTTGGAGGTAAGAATCTCATGGACTTTTCTGTCTAGGTTGGCTTTGAACCATGATCCTCAGATTTCAGCCTCCATGAAATAGCTAAAATTTCAGGCCCGAGCCACGGGCACCTCACAATGCAGTTACAACTTAACATTGCAGCTTTATGACTGTGCTTGTGTAACTTTTGGTAAGTTTTAACTAACAGATTTATTTTATGATAGTAAATAGTGAAAGACTAGCATCTACATACATATGAATTCAGGACACAGCTAATGTTGTTATGTTTTGGTTGCTATTTCTAGGGTATGTGATTTGTATTAGCAAATTTTCAAATTGTCTCAAATCTCCAAAGCTCAGGATAAGTGGCCTGTATAATTCAAACCCACACTGTTCAAGGGTTAACGAAATATGGAACACAAAGGAAATCAATGTTCATTTACAATCCAGATAGAGAATATTTGAAAACGGTCCATTTACTTTGGCTGTGTACCACTCTGAGTGATAGCTCTTTCCTGGCCCTAAAGGTAATTAATCACTTAGAGGTGGGGTACAGCAAATCCACTGGACTCCCCCATTATAATCTGGAAGGAGCATAAGGGAGGGCTATCCTCCTTTCCAAACCTAGACATTGGGTAGTTTCTTTTGTAAATATTTAATGGAGGCTGGCAAATTCTCTTAGAACAGCTTGTAACTCTGTCTACATAAGAACACATTTTAATTGCTTCAAACACACTTTAAAAAATTCCACATGGATATAAAAAGTTCAACCTCTATGAAAAGAACTTTCCAAACTCATATTTTAGTGTTTTACGTAGTTATGGATTGGAATATCCACCTGAATATCTACAGTTATAAAAATGCTATCCCAAGCTAAGCATGGTGGCATATGCCTACAGTTCCAGCTGCTTGTAAGGTTGAATCAGATTGTTTGAACCCAGGAGCTAGATGCTAGCTAGCTAGCTAGCTAGCTAGCTAGGTATTACCTCCACAACCAAAACCCCAAACAACAACAACAAAAGCCTATTATCACTGGAATAAAATTAAATGCAATGAGACCTAGAAAGGTATTGGTCACTACAATATACTTTAAGGGAATGAGATTTAACATTTGAAGAGCTGGAACTGGTGGTTTAGGCTTGAAATTCCAGCTACTCAAGAGACTGAGATCCAGATGATCATATTGGTTAGCCTGGGCACAAAATTTTGAGAGACTCTATCTCCAAAATAACCAGCAAAAAAGGCAGGAAACTACTTTAAAAAAATACTTGTGTTGCTAAAACCTGTAATGTCATAGCTAGTTGGGAGGAAGAAATGAGAGGATTGTAGTTCATAAATCAGCCTGGACAAAATGTTCGCAAGACTCCATCTCAACCAAAGGCTAGATGCAGTGGTGTATGCATGTCACACCAGCAACAAAGAGAAGTACAAACAGGATTTCAATCCAGGCTGGCCAGGGCATAAACTAAGACTTTATCTTGAAAACAACCAACTCAAAAATGGAATGGTAGGGTGCCTGAAATGGTAGAGCAACTACTCAGCGGGCAGGACGTACTGATTTGACTCCCAGGAACTACCGTCTCCCCAAGAACCCACAAACTATTATGGACGAGTAACATCATAGACTAAGGATTATATTCTGTGCCAGGTCGAACCCTCTGGGCTATCATGTAGTTAATACAGGCCTGCTACTTGTGGAGTAGATAACTTGGCAATATTCTCCACATTGTTTTGGGTGAATGTTATTGTCAAGAGGGGCAAGGGAGAAAAAGGTTAAGACAAAACCTTGTAAAATCCCAGGAAGTAAGCTTCTTGGGGAAATGTAAGGTTTTCAAATAAGGTTTCTGGATTGGTAAACAAAACCATAATGTGCTGGCTTACACCTGTAATCCCAGCTACTCATGAGGCTGAGATCTGGGAACACTGGAGTTTGAAGCCAGTCCAGGCGGGAAAGTCTATGAGACACTTACCTCCCATTAATCTCTGAAAAGCTGAAAGTAGAGCATCAGCCTTGAGCAAAAAAGCCCAGGGACAGTGCACAAGTCCTTAGTTCCAGTCCTAGGACCAGTGTGTGTGTGTGTGTGTGTGTGTGTGTGTGTGTACACACATGCACAAATTAAAATGATCAAAATTCTTACAAATATCAGTATTACATACAAGTATTTTTTATGATCCAGAAACTAGGAGTGAAGTTTTAAGGATTGAAACAAAAAGCATCCAAAGGTTGAACATCAAATTTTAATCTCAAAACCTTTTATCCAGTCCTCAAATTGTTCACATGAAAAGGAATGATAAATCACAATTTTATCATTACCATATCATGGTGTAACAAGCCCTTGTTACAAAATCCATCTACTGTCTTCAAAAAAACCAATAGAAAACCCATACATTGTATTACCTAATGATCTATTAACAGATGAAACTTGGACCAACTTTATACCAGGAAACTATTAACAGAGGTACATAATCACATAGCTTAAAATATGGAGAAAAAGACAGGTAAAAAAATCTTAACCTGTAGTAGTCTTTTGACTTTTTTAAAATTTTTATAAAATACACAGATTTCCCAAAATAAAGAATATTACGACACATTGGTGTCAACTTACACCCACAAAAGCTGGTGTCAGCTCCTTTGTTTCCTAACTAAAGATCATTTCACCAAACCTTATATATTACATGAATATCCAAGTAAAGTATTTGTTTAAAAAATTTAACAGACACACAAACATAATATACAGTGTTTTATAAAAAAAAGTAACTTAGGAATGATTGATTTTATTTTGGACCACATGACATATCTTTTTAAGACAATGAAACCTCTCCATCTTGCAAGATGACTGCTCACTTCATGTTTCTATTTCCCAGCTTGAATTCTTCAAAGTAAAAACAAGAACAAAACAAACAAACAAAAAACACCCCCCCCCACACACACACAAAGAAAAATAGGGATGAGGTTTGTATTTTTTTTCTTTGAGAAAACTGTAGTATTAATCTCATTCACTACCAAGCTGGTCTTCCCTCCTTTCTGTTTTCTGGATTGGCCAGATTGAAGACTGGGTGGCATCCTACAGAACTCGGTGGAAGTGGCCAATCACATCAAAGACTGGATATAAAGGCAAGCTCAGCTGGGCCCTCCCCAGGAGGAGTCTCCAGGCCCAAGAGCCCACAGTCTTCTGGATCAACCTGTCCTTCCTTCTGTCTGCTGGGAGGACACAAAAGAGCACTGTCACTAAGGACTGTTGTGACAGTTGATGGATGCCTTCACTAGAAAGGGACTGAGTGCACTCAAGTTGCTTCCCCCAACACTCAGTTAGGGGCTTTGAGCGAGAGAGAAGTGAATGATGTTTATGTTACACTTCCTGCTCTTGCTCTGGTCCATTCTGAGTGCAATCTAACCTGGATTGGAAATCGCCATGAAACATACATACCATGCAGCCTCTGTCACTGTGGGACTCCAGTAACACATGCAAGATGGAGGAGAAAGAATCACAATGGACAAATGGAAACCTTTCACAGTGTTTCTCACGGCCTTTGACTTCAACATGAGGGCATCACTTACCACAGCCACCTCACAAACACTTGATGGTGTCCTGGGACATGCACACCACTCAGAGAAAAATGGAAATTATGTGTCATGGCCATTCTCAAGGAACACAACTTCAATTTCTTCTACTGTCTACCCAAAGAATTGAGCTGCTCCTGCTACAAAACTACACATTTCGGAATATATTTTTGTCTACGGTTGTGCTTTTTATTTTTCCTTACCGCCTCACTGATTCAAGGAAAAATTTAAAGCCCTCAAACTTAATTGAGTACTAGTCTTCAGGCTGATTCCTGATCAGACTAGAAAAGACAGGGAATCGCTAACTTTTCTTCTCTCAAGTTTCTGTTCCCTTTCCCCCAGACCCTTGTTCTCCAGGTAGTTGTATGTTTGGTTTTCCCAAATACAAAAGAAAACCCAAACACAAATCAAGAGAAATGGCATTTCTTTCTGTGTGTGTGTGTGTGTGTGTGTGTGTGTGTGCACGTGCGTGCACACGCATGCACGTGTGCATGCACACCAGTACTGGGGTTTGAACTCAGGGCCTTGTGCTCTTAGCTTTTTCTTCCCCTCACAGCTGGCTTTCTATTACTCGAGCCACATCTTTACTTCAGGCTTTCTGCTAATTAATTAGAGACAAGGGTCTCACAGATTTGTCTACCTGGACTGGTTTCAAACCTGTATCTTCAGATCTCAGCCTCCTGAGTAGTCAGAATTATAGGTGTGAGCCATAACTGGTGCCTGGCTAAGAACTGGCATTTCTGTTTCAGAGAAGCAAAATAGCATGGTAGAGACAAGTGAACAAGGGCAGGGAAGATGCACTCTATGTCCGAGAAGGATCTCTTGCTCTCAACAGGAGATGATCCAGCTTCTCCTTCGCTATCATTTCATAAATTAATAATTTCTTAAAATCATAATCGAAAGGATTTTTATCTATTACAAGAAAAATTCAAGTTAAAAAAGCAAATAAATTAGTTAAGCCTTGTAAACAATTGTCCATTTTAGTTATAGATCTTTAAAAAAAAAAAGATTTCTCCGTATAGTATATCAGACAGTACAAGGCACACCTTACAATCAGACCCCAGAGTGAGAAAGACATCCAGATACTTTGTTCTTGTCATTGGGGTATCTGTGCTGGGGGGAGCTGTGGAGTCACATGCCAACCCTTCCCTCAGCTTCTGACAACCTGGAAGTCCACAGATGTGCTCTTTCCACGAAACTGCTTTGTGCTATTTTGTTGTGTGGGTGATTTTAAGCCTTTTCAGTGTCAGTGTCCTCAGATGTTTTCCACGAAGCTTCCTGGGAACAGGCCAGTTTTCCCATTACGTTGCAATGTGCCTTTGAACCAGCCATCTTCTCGTTTTTTATGAACAAACACAATGTCTCCTTCTTTCAGTTCAAGTTCTGCTTCACTCTGAGGAGGGTAGGAAACCACTACCCTGTGCCTGAGAAAGGGGGGGGGGAAGGGGAAGACAGATCAGTTAGACAAAAATGTGACAAAATGTGACAAAAATGGTGGCTCACACCTACCTACTCAGGAGGTGATATCTGAGGATTATGGTTCAAAACCAGCCTGGGTACACATATGTGTGAGACTCTTATCTTCAATTATCCAGCAAAAAGTCAGAAGTAGAACTTTGGCTCAAGTGGTAGAATACCAGCCTTGAGTGCAAACACCCAGGGACAGCGCCTAAGCCCTTAGGTTCAAGACTTAGCACCAACACACCCATAGACACACCCATAAACACACACACACACACACACACACACACACACAGAATCGTCTACCACTGATGGCCCAGGCTGGTTTGTTTGAAAGACCTGTCCCTGGAACAGCCATTTTTGTCCATGTACAGTGTTCCTAACTTTGTGTGCGTGTGCGTGCGTGCGTGTGCATGCACACACCAGTAGGGGGCTTGAACTTAGCACCTTGTGCTCTTGCTTGGCTTTTTCACTTAAGGGCAATACTCGACCATTTGAGACACACCTTTTCTTCTTGCTTCTTGCTGGTTAACTGAAGGAAACAAGGGGCTCTGAACAGAGATCATGAGCTCTTGGCCTCCTGAGAAGCTAGGACTGCAGGTGAGAGCCACTGGTGCCAAGCTTAGCCTTGTTAATATTACCTGTCCTCCTCCCTCCATAGCTCTTAGTCTCCTTATGTAGACTAGGACCAGCTGCCAGGGAGGCCGGCTGGAGATGACAAGTTTTAGGTTCTGTATTCATTGGAAATTGTGGTGTATCTTGGCTAACTTCCTGGCTAGCCCCAGAGCTGCTAGCATTTTCATGCTTGTGTACACTCTTCCCATGATGCTTAGGGATGAAAGGGATAGTGTATGGTATTTTTTTTTTTTTTTGTCGGTCGTGGGGCTTGAACTCTGGGCCTGGGCGCTGTCTCTGAGCTCTTCAGCTCAAGGCGAGCGCTCTACCACTTGAGCCACAGCGCCACCTCCTAGTGTATGATATTAAAGACTAGACCATTAAAGGCGTTGTGGCTTCTGCTTTCTCTTGGCTCATTCACTCTGGAAATTCAGCTGCCATGTTGTGAGGACACTCAGCCTCTTTCTGGAGGAAGCCCGCTATAAGGAATTGAAGCTTCTTCGCCCCCAAGGCCAACGTTAAGAAGCCAGTGGTGGTATGAAGGTAGCTGGTCCTCTCACGGTCAAGAGATCAGTAGAGCCTGATCCTCCAGCCAATTTTCATTCCATAAAAATCAGGGCCCATTCACATGAAGAAAGACCCTGCTTAGCAAGAACCTCAGAATATTTTACAAAGGTTAACTGGCTGCCCAAACTGTTACTCAGCTCCTTTGGGCATAAGAACTAAATTGCTCTCCACAACCTGAAGCACAAGTATAACACGAGGTAGTTTACTGTTTCTAGGACTGAGTCAGCTTATTCAAGCATAAGCAGTTACAGAAGGCAAAGTCAATCAGGGGCCGAGTGGAGGAGGAGGCCTGGTACTTGAGAGAAGCTTTGGCCCAAGGGGCTGACACAGTCTTTTTTTTTTTTTTTTTTTGGTGGTAAGTCTTGAACTCTGGGCCTGGGCACTGTCCCTCAGCAATTCAGCTCAGGTGAGTGCTCTACCACTTGAGCCACAATGCCACTTCTGGTTTTCTGGTGATTAATTGGAGATAAGAGTCTCACAGACGTTCTTGCCTGGGCTGACTTTGAACCGGGATCTTCAGATCTCAGCCTCCTGAGTAGTTAGGATTACAGGCGTGAGCCACTGGTGCACGGCCTGACATCGTCTTTAGGGTCATCGAGAGCAGCTTCACTTTGGCCTCGTTTATTTGAGCTGTCCAGTTCCCTCATTTGTAGAACAAGAGTGTAATGAATTAGACAAGTATTTAATACACAGTGTAATGAGATGAAGAAAGTGATGCTCTAGGATAGTGACTGATACCTCGTTCACCCCAGATTCAGCTCCCACAATGGCCATAGCTTATGCGAGAGTACGCAGGGGTGTGTCATTTAGGAGGGAAGGTCTGAAGGAATGGTTAGTCCATAGTAAGCCACCTCTAACCAGGAAACAAACTCAGGCCACAACTTCAGAATCTGCTGACAATGACACTTCACATACTTTGGAATGACATGGCATTTTGGAATCACTTCACTTGATATCTTTCAAAACAAGCCAAATGATTTCATCATGGTTTTCTCTTGAGAGAAGGATCCAGATGAGATTTCTCAGGTCTGATGCCAATATGCCAAAAATCCACATAACAAGTAATGATGTCGCTGTCATTGGGGGCAAGTTAAAATTTAAGAAAGCTTTACAATTCTGGGAAAGGAGAGGAAAGGAGAGGAGAGGAGAAGAGAGGAGAGGAGAGGAGAGGGGAGGGGAGAAGAGGAGAGGGGAGGAGAGGAGAGGAAGAAAAAGAAAGAAAGAAAGAAAGAAAGAAAGAAAGAAAGAAAGAAAGAAGAAAGAAAAAAGAGAAAAGAAAGAAAGAAAGAGGAAGGAAGGAAGGAAGGAAGGAAGGAAGGAGCAGAGCAGTGATCAAAATGCATTCAGAGGAGATCCCTCATGAGGTGCATTTCTGACTGGCTCTCCCACAAGCTGCCTTAAAGGTAAAATGGCATAGAAAGGGCTGGAAAAGTAAAAAGTGAATTAGATAATATTTGCATTTTATAAAATGCACTAAACCAATTTTGTCAAAAAAAATTTTTTTGAACTAGAACTGCTGCTGGGCTAAGAACATAATCTTCCTGCCAAGTTCCCAGTGGGAGTAAATCTTCACTGCTAAGTTATAAACCTCTGGAGGGGCGGGGGAGATAGAATGTAAAACCACGCGCACACTGTGGAAACGGTGACACAGTCCTGATCACGAGAAGACGACCAGGTGCACTAGGGACAGATGCCATCTGGCCCAGCCCCTGGCCTCGAGCCTGGTGAGGTGGTTTGCCCAGAGACTTCTACTGCAGACCCGGATGGCCAAATGCTGGCACGGGGAGGCCTACGATCTCAGGCACTGAGAAGCTTTGCCAAGCAGAATGTTTACAGACCAGCAGCACAGCTGCCCAGGACCCTCACATCGGTGCCCCACCCCCCGCCCCTCTGGCCATGGCCTCACTGGATTATTCTTGTCTTTAGGACCACAGGGCTCTTGAGTAGGTCCAATCCTCAAAAGCACAGACTCTACCCAGGATCTCTGTGCTATCTCCTGACTCATCCTCATCACTTCCATTTCTCTTCATCGGCTGTGTCAGTAATAAGGCTGACGACCTTATTACTGTCTACCTCCTTCCTGTTTCAGATCTTGTTGTATCTCCAACCCATTCTACACAGAAGTCATATATCATCATCATCATCACCATCATCATGGCTATTATTATTATTATTTTGGTGCCAGTACTGGGGCTTCAACTCAGGGCCCAGGTACTGTTCCTCAGCTAGTTCTGCTCAAGGCTCCTGCTCTATTATTTGAGCCACACCTCTATTTCTGGCTTTGGGATTGTTAATTAGAGATAAGAGTCTCACTGTCTTTCCTGCTCAGGCTGTTTGTTCTTTTGTTGTTGGTTTTTGTTGTTCTTTTTTTTTATTACCTTTAGGAAGTTGTACGAAGGAGTTGCCATTCACCAAAGCAGTTTATGTGTAGAATGCACCTTGATCTGTGTCATTATGTCCAACATCTTCGCCCCCTTTGGACCCTTCCCATTCCTTCTATTTCTCAATGAATTGTCAGGCTCGATTTGAAACTTCGATTCTCAGATCTTAGCCTCCCAAGTAGCTAGGCCTAGTAAGCCACCAGTGCCTGGCTACATATTAATATATGTAGCTGCCCATTGCTGAAAAATCATTAACAGCTTTTCAAACTTGTAAGGTTAATCCTAAAACTGGTAGACAAAGCTCTCTGTGATCTGGGTGTAATCTCTCTTCAGAGCTAGAACTGGTTTCATCACCATGAATGTGTCAAACACGCCTGAAGCTTGCCTGGCATTAGGGAAGAATCCCATATTTATCTCCCAAATCCGGACTTCGCTCCTCCCACGCTACACCTTGGCTCCTATGAAATCCTGCACTGAGAAATTTTCTCCCCTCTATCTCTGCTCATCCACACCCTATCAATCTCTCATGACTTGGCTCCGACTCTCCCTTGTGAAATCTCTAACCCCACGACTGGAAGTCATTTCATGCTTGACTAGAGCCCAGAGGTCTCTCCATGTATATTTTTTAGGCACTGAGCACAGCACACTGTATCATTACTGCCTGTGTCTCTGTCTTATTAATCTACTGGGCTACAATCTGCTGGGGGGTGGGGAGGAGAGACGATGCTAAATTCACTTTATGTGCCTTGTTCTACCATACATTGTACAAAGTTCTTACTAAGCGAGTCAAATGTTGGAAAGAAAAGGCTTAATCCTACAGTAACATTGGTTGTTGTTAAAGAAATGTACAATGTTCTATAAAAAGAAAGGATTTTTTTTTAAAGGAATGAAATTCTGCTACAACATTTCACCTTTGTAAACATTAAGTGAAATAAGCCATTACAAAAGGACTACTATTGCTAGGCACCGGTGGCTCATACCTGTGATCCTAGCTACCCAGGAGACTGAGATCTGAGGATCATGGTTCAAAGCTTGCCCAGGAAGGAAAGTTCCTGAGACTCTTATCTCCCATAAACCACTCAGAAAATTGGAAGCTGTGCTGTGGCTCAAGTGGTAGAGCACTCACGATGATCTGAAGAGCTCAGGGACAACACTCAGGCCCAGAGTTCAAGCCCCACGACCAACAAGAAACAAACAAAAAACCCAAAAGGACTACTACTGTAGAATTCCACTGAGAGACTCAAGACAGTTACTCATAGCAATAGGAAGTAGAATAGCATTTCCGGGGACTACAGGTAGGGAAAATGGAAGAGGGGCTCTTGTTTAAACAATACAATGCTTCACTGTGAGCTCGTGAAGCATTGCTAGAGCTGGACAGTGGTGAGTCACTGCAAAATGTTCTTAATATAATTGAATTGATAAGTTTTATAAATTATAAATTCCCAGCAACAATGGGCTGGGAAGGTGGCTTAGTGGCAGAGCGCTTGCCTAGCATGCATGGAGCCCTGGGTTCGATTCCTCAGTACCACATACACAAAAAGCCAGAAGTGGCGCTGTGGCTCAAGTGGTAGAGTGCTAGCCTTGACAAAGGAAGCTCAGGGACATTGCCTAGGCCCTGAGTTGAAGCCCCAGGACTGGGAAACAAACGAACAAACAAAGCAACAAATAAAATGAATAAAAGGAGCAGAAATATTAGTAAAAAGAAGAAAAAAGAGGAGGAAATGTAAAAAGCTAACTGGTATAGTGGTGGCCCAATAGCACTCTTGGTCCCAGTGGGGTTTAGACTCTGCCTGAGCAGGTCTCTGCCTCAGCATGGCTGTGAGACTTTCCTTCACCAGCTGTTGGTGATATTGACCAGATGGAAGTGGAGACGAATATTCTTGCTCTGATATGCAGAAACTCCACTGACAGGCTATGTCAATCTTTCTGGCTTGGATTGTGGTATTCTAGCTTCCATCTAGATAGGCAGTGGAAATCCTTTATTAGTGTAAGCTTTCTGTATCCCTGATTTTTTTTTCCTGTTCTGGCCTGTCTGGCATTTTCTGTAGTTCACACATTGCCATTTCTCATCTCCCTTGGTACTGCCCCAAATGTACCCCTGGTTGCCCTGGGAAGCACTTTATCCATTACTCCTGGTGTGGGTGAGTAGCCATTCGCTGCTTTCTGCCAGTTACCATACAATCTAATACCCAATTAAGTATTTCACTGGCAAAACTGTACCAGCTTGCTTTGTAGCTAACTCGAAGTCCAAGTAAATTATGTCCAGTGCCTCTCTCAGTGCATTCATTGTCCATGACTCAAAGAAATTAATCAGGCTGGCTAAGCCCGACTGCCTTTCTGTAAATCTATCCCTATCTGATTTGCATGTTTCCAAGTATTGTGGCTTAATCCTTGATCAAAGATCATAGGTTCCTTTCCAGTTTGGGAGATGGGCTGAAAGGTATGTGGTTATCCCTTTACATTCTAATATAAAGAAATGGGGAGGGGGAACCAACCCATCACATACACTTTTATTTGTCATCCTTGCTGAGATTCTTTCTTTCGACTTTCTCTTGGCAATTTCCTAATTACTTCCCCCACCCCTCAATACTTCTAAAACAGAGCCAAAAATATTTGTTCTATTATTTCAGCTGTCATCAATTATGCATTTTCTGCCTCCAGGATACAGTGTTATTTTCTTGCTTGTTTTCTGCAGTCTCTCTAACACACACAAAAGACTCCTTTTGTTCCTCAGGAGAATTCTCTCAGCTGACACCGAGACCTGTCAACACACTTCAAGGGTCTCCCTTCCTTATTATGAGACGGCTTACGTTTCCATCACAGCAATGTCTTTTTCCGTTGCCATTCTGGGACTGGCCCTGGTCACATTTTTTAAAACTGTATTCCTTTTTTTCTCCCCTTTTTATTTTAGATTTATGAGACCAGGTCATGGTTTGCCAAGGGATTTTATGCTTCTCCTCATTAGAGTGTACAGATAATTGTGTCTCACATTGTCCCAGTACTATACAGCAAACAAATATTTCAAAGAAATTCTGTGAGTTTTGTCAGAACAAGAGTTGATGTTTTCACAGTGAATAAAGGAATTTTAAGACCTTCAAATGCTTTCTGAATTATACCAATGTGAATGTTAATCTTTCCTTCATTTTAAGCGGTTCGTTTTTTTTACTGTGTTGAAAACATGCAAAGAAGTAATCCCTAAATTACATACTTAGTAGCTTTCTATTAACCCCCACATTTCATTCTCAGTGAAAACCATAATGGTTTGTTTCCTCTACTAGTTTTCTGTTGCTTTTCATAGTTGGACAGATTTTTAAGAAGCCATGCTAGGCAAAGAGCTGGGGTTCATTGGTGGGGCTGCCTATCATATTAAATTTAATATTCCATTGAGCCTATGTGGATTATAAACATATAAAGTTGGGCAGAAATCTCCACAGACCCCTTCTCCACTCCCCCAAATTGAAAGGCTTACAGGGAAACCTCCCAGACTTATTTCTGCAGTGGCCAGGCCCATCTGTGCCCTCATTAAATTGGCCGCGTTTCTCATCCGATATGCAGCCCTTGCTCCCCCAACCAGCATCACCTGTCTGCTTCAGCAGACTTCTCCTTTTCAGAGGCATTGAACAGCAGAAGCCTGCTGCTAGCAATGAGCCCCTAGTCTAAGAGGAGAGGGCTGGAATGTCCACAGAGACTGAGGACATCTGGCAAGTGAAAAGGAATGCATAATGGGGCATGGAGGGGGTGGGCAGCGGGGGCATAGCCGTGCTCAGCCAAGGCCGAGGGAGAGCCCGGGCACACTGAACCGCCATCTAAACAGTCACACAAAATACCACAAAGCTCAGGGAAAAAAAAAAAAAAAGAACCGAGCGCCTCAGGGCATAGAGGAAACCCATGGATCAATGCCTAGAGGCAGAGAGGGAGCCTTTGTGACTAAAAGACATTACCAAGTAACTGAACCAGCAACGGGAATGGGAGGCACTCTTTCCGGAAAGTGTGAGGGACCCCCAAAGTGAGAGGGCACAATGATTTCGGGGGGGATCATTTCAAACCTGGCTTTGTAAGGGTCAGAACTACAGAAAATGATTTCATCTCACTATTGAAAATATATAATAAGCCGGGCGCCAGTGGCTCACACCTGTAATCCTAGCTACTCAGGAGGCTGAGACTTAAGGATCATGGTTCAAAGCCAGCCTGGGCAGCAAGGAAAGTCTGTGAGACTCTTATCTCCAATAAACTACCAAGAAAATGTCAGACGTGGTGCTGTGGCTCAAATAGTAGAGTGCTAGCTAGCCTTAAGCACATAGAGGCTTGGGGACAGAGCCCAGGCCCTGAGCGCAAGCCTCAGGACTGGCAAAAATTACATATAATATATATATATATATATATATATATATAAAATACACACACACACACCCCATACACAAATATACATAGAGAGAATACTTTAGCTGGTGCTTTGTTTTGTTCCTACTGGAACTTGAACTCAGAGCTTTTTCACTTAAGGCTAGTACTCTGTCACTTGGCCCATGTCTACAGTACTGATTTTTTTGCTAGTTAATTGAATTTGTGTGCTGGACTGGCTTCTAATTGTGATTTTCAGATTTCAGCCTCTTGAGTAACTAGGAATACAGACATGAGTCACCAGTGTCTGGCTTTTCACTATATATTTTTTTGAATAGTTTAAATTATGTGTCACAAAATCATATGATCAAAGGCCTTAGTTTGGGGCGGGGGGGGAGTACTAATTTCATTTAGTTTCACCTGAAATACAAAGGTAAGATAAATTTAAATTTAAGTCATTCTAAAGTATAACAAAGAAGATTTCATATCTATAACACAAAGCCAGACACGCTGTGCTGGTAGATGTCAGCTATTCAGCAGGATGAGGCAAGAGGATTGCTGGAATTTCAGAGTTCTGAGATCTATCTCAAATAACAAAATCAAATCAGCAAACACAAAACGTTCTACCCAAATGCTACCTCCATGAATTAAAAAATTTGTTTTAGTTATGAAATGCAAATCTGGCCAGGTGTCGGTGGCTCATGCCTGTAATCCTAGCTACCTCAGGAGGTAACTAAGATCTGAGAACCACGGTTCAAAGCCAACTCAGGCAGGAAAGTCCATGAGACTCTCTCCAAGAAACCACCAGAAAACCAGGAATGGCACTGTGGCTCAAGTGGTAGAGCGCTTGCCTTGAGCTGAAGAGCTGAGGTACAGCGCCCAGGCCCAGAGTTCAAGCCCCATGACCAACAACAACAAAAAAAAAGAAATGCAAATCTGGAGGGAATGAAGCTTACAGAAACAATAAAATAAATGATGCTTAAATGTTTACATGTTATGTGAAGAGTATTATAGCATACTTCATGACATATTTTTGGGCAATGAACAGTATTTGGCTTTCCGGTTTATAGAATCCTAGTAGATATTTGTCATATTAAGTGTCTTTTTTATTCTTAACACATTTCTAGGATCCTATTGGCAGAATCAAACAGAATGACTCCCATTTGTGATCATTATTCAAGACCAGAATCACTAAAACAGAGCTCATTATTCCAAGGAAAACAATCAAGTCACTGGGAGTAGAAGAGTACAATGGAGACCGGAGCCACACTGTTCCAGCTGAAGAGAAAAGCATTCTCTGGCCAGGTAAAATTCTCAAATTGCTTCATCACCAGCAAGTAAGGATATCAGCTCTTAATAAAGTCAAGGGATTAAAAAAAAAAAAAAGCTGGGTGCTAGTGGCTCAAGCCTGTATTCCTATCTACTCAGGAGGCTGAGTGATCTGAGGATCGCAGTTCAAAGCCAGCCCAGGCAGGAAAGTCTGTGAGATTCTTATCTCCAAATAAACACCAGACAACCAGAAGTGGTGCTGTGGCTCAAATAGTCTTGAGAAAAAAAATGTTCAGGGACAGAGTCCATGCCCTGAGTTCAAGCCCCAGGACCACCACCACCAACAACAACCCCCCCAAATATCAACAACAAAAACAGGAGTAACTGCTGGTGACAGAATAGAAACAAAAAGACAAGAGCAAGTTTCCAGGGACTGCATACAATTTCCTGTGGGTGACTGGAAACAAAAAAAGAAAATGAAGTCTATAGATGCAGGTAAAAAGCACGTGAGGAAGAAAGTCCACTGTATTGAATGGAAAGGAAAAGTCAGCGCTGGCTCTTACAAACTCAGCTTCCAACATTGTTTTTAGGAAGACTGTAGAAACATATCTTACGTAGGAGAATACATTTCCTGGCAAAAAAAAAAAAAAAAAAAACCTCAAATATCCTGAACTTGCCAAATTCTTTTTTAGTGCTCTCTCCAGGAGGGATGGTGATGAACTCACCTTTCACAAACGACAGGCCGGGACTCATTCAGGACAGGACCCAGGGAGGAGCAGGCCTGCCGGGGAGGTGGAGCGATGGGCACTGCGGAGTCCAGGGAACTGGTCTTCCGGTGGAAGGCATCCTGGACGGAGGCTGCTCCTGCGGCTCCAGTGGCGGTTCCTTCCCCATCCATGGAGCAGGAGTTGGTCCTACCATGGCTGCCGCCTAAGGGTAGCTCAGGACCCACCGCTCCCTGCAAGAACAACTCGCCACCCCCCAGGTCCATGTCCAGGGTGGGTGACGCTGGAGGGGACACTCGGGGCTTCCGTTTGGTAGAGGCTCCAGAAAGCAACTTCAGCAACCCCTTTTTTTCTTTCTAGAGAAAAGAAATACGAAGGTAAGTTGGGAGATAGAGTCCTATTGCTGTTGTCATCTACTGTGCCCTTTTACTAGTTTTAATTTTGGGGTTCATCTTTGAAAAGGACTGTCTATGAATGATTATTCATTATGAAGACAATTAGCCAAGCACGTTGATTGATTATAATGGTTTCCATTCATGTTTAGCTACCCTTAATCTGGTTACCAACTTGTGTGTATATGTTAATGTGAACTTTGGTTGCTACTGTTTTCTGCCTGTCTGCATTTGTGTGTTTTGGATATTTCATTGTTTCTTCTTATGTTCTACTGAGTAGTAACATAAGCTGGGAAAACATACATAAAGCTTATGAATTCGATTTGCATTTTAGTTTAGTTCAAAACACAACAGAGGTCGAGCACTGGGCTCATACCTACAATTCTACCTATTCAGGAGGCTGAGATCTGAGTGGGGATTGAGCTTTGAAGCCAACTTGGGCCGACAAATTTGAGAGACTTTCTTCTCCAAGTAACTAGCAAAAGATTAGAAGTGGAGGTGTGGCTCAAGTTGTAGAGCATCAGCCTTGAAGGGGAAAAAGCTAAGAAAGAGCACAAGGCTCTGAGTTCAAGCAAGCCCCAGTGCCAGCACGGTAAACAAACAAACCAAACAAAAAACCCCAAACCCCACAAGAAGATACATTAGAATAAGATGGAAATTTCAGATTTTGGATTTAATTTCCTGAGATTCTGCCTATCAATCTCTTAATTATCCTTCAGGTAATTAAGCTGACTATGTTGCATTAAATGTAGACTTAAAGCAATTTCCACTACACCCACAGCTGAGCCCCATCATTGATAGTAATGATGCCTTGAACAGAATGAAGGCTTACCCACTGCTCACGCGTCATCACATCAATTACATTTAACCAACTTGAAGAACAGTCAAATGATCTCTATGGTGCCAGTACTTCCTTGATTGGAAACTCAAAAACAATTCCATAAAACTTTAAGGAAACCACCAGGATCTTAGTATTGTTTTTCCGTTTTGCAAATAAATAATAAATCCATGAGTTTTCCCCCAGTCATCTCATTCCAGAAAAGCCATCTCTTGGAGTTTTTGTCTCTTTTGACACTCGTCTATGCTACACCGCAAAGAAAGCTAGTGCTCCAGCGAATGCTCCTTTGTCAAGCTTTCAGTGTCCATGTTCGTCTTGATCATGAGGTTTAATATCATCATAAAATTGTGGCACTAAGGGGCTGGGAAGGTGGCTCAGTAATAGAGTACTTCCCTTGCATGCATGAGGCCCTGGGTTTGATTCCCCAGTACCACATAAACAGAAAAAATCCAGAAGTGACAATGTAGCTCAAGTGGTAGAGCACTAACCTTGAGCTGTAGAGCTGAGGGACATCACCCGGGCCCAGAGTTCAAGCCCCATGACTGATCAAAAAAAAAAAATTGTGGCACTAAGATGTCGAATACATCATTAAGTTCTCTGTATAGAAACATGGCCTGAAAATCCAATATTTTAAAGAGAACTATTCCACTAGGGATCTATAAGAAAATTGGAGTTAAAGCCCACTAACAGGGATAAGGAATTATCAGGGTCCCACCAGGAGGAATTCTTGGGATTGTGAAGTAGTTCAGACTCAGTAAAAAACCCCTTCAGGGGATGACTCTTCATCTGCAGTAGCCCAATTCTATTAGAGTCAGCATGGTAGAGAAAAAGAAAAAAAAAAAGGAAGAGACCAAAGCAATCATTTATCAGATGATGAGCAAACACCCCTGGGAAATTGCACTGGAGTCCCCATTTGCTTATTACTGCTCACAGTGTATGTGTTAGCCAACGGACTAGGAGTGGACAGAGGTGGGTGGGGGCCAGGGAGTCATCTCTGCCCTGCTTGGCCTGGGCTACAGATGAGCACACCAGTGGCCTCTCATTACCTCTCCTAGGCTATGGAAGATCCGTTTGCTTCTCTTCAAGGTCTGGCTTAGCTCATCTTATTGGGTTTTGCTTTACTCCCCCAATGTCACATTTTCTATGGGGGCTACCATATGTATTCTAATAAACGACCCTGCAAACTTGAACTACCCATTTGAGTGTAATGACTGTACCTTATACACATACCTCTGCAACTCAGCTGGTGCCTGGTACAAAGCCCTCCGTTTATTAAAATAGAGAGGACAGGATGGGTGTCAGCTAGTGCTACGGCTAGGATGATATATCGGGATGTTTCGGATTTCCCAAATGAAAAGCAAAGAAAACATTGTTGTTTTCATGCTCAATGAAGTAGCCTGACTGCCCAATGCCATGGCCACGTTCTTATAGGTCTGAGGTTGGAGGGATCAAGAAACAAGCAGGGAAAGAATGATGTCTGATCGCTTCTACTTCTGAGGTGGCAGTCAGCTGCAATTTCCAGCTGCTCCCGCCATCATGTAAGAAGGCACACTCTAATTTCTGGACCCCTGTAGATCTACCCAGAACATCAAGTCCACTGATAAATTACAATCTCAGCAAGCCACAGCTAAAGATGTTGCTTAAAAGCTCAGGACTGGGCACTCAGAAGAATATCAGATAACTGAATTGCGCTCAGGGAACAGTCTCTAAAGTGATTAGGAAGAAAAATGACTCAGTTCATTGAAAATGATTAAACACATTAACTACAGCTCGCTTTAATGACTTCTAAGGGATGTGCTATCACCATCAGCCGATGCTGACTACCCACAGAGCAGAGGAAGAGAATTAGGTGCATGGCAGGGTATGGGCAAGGAGGGGTGTGGGGGGGTGAACACAGGAAAGATGTAGCTCTACTTCCACAGAGCTGTGGGGTTATATATTCTGATGTTTTCTCTATTAGCAGACCAATATGTCTCCAGAGAGAGACTTACCACCTTCGTTTAGTTAAAAAAAAATCCAATGTGAAAATGGAGGAATTAATACTGACTACTCTTTAGCCAAGCAAAAAACATTTTTTGTAGTAATGTTAGTGAGCATGAAAAAGGAACCCATCTTTTAACACGAACCTGAATAACTCATCTCCCGTGGATTCCCCAAGAAATTATTCCCGGATGAAATAATGTTTTTAGAATCATAATTTTGTCTTTAGAAGGCTTGGTGGCTTAAAAGAACATTACATATTTAAAAAGACGATCTGAGTCAAAAAGTGATCTTCACAAAAGCCGAGAGTTATTTCTGAATGCAAAATATTTTCTAGCTGGGTATTAGTGGTACATACCTGCAAATCTCAGCTTCCTATCAGGCTGAGGCAGGAGGATTGTGGGTTTGAGGCTAGCCTGGGTTACAGATTGAATTCAAGCCAGCATTATTCCAAGACTCTATGTCTCAAACAAAAAGAAAAAATATGTTTAGCAGGTTTTTTTTGTTGGTTTGTTTTTTAAGGTAAAGAGCTCAAGCTGGGCATGGGTGGCTCACACCTGTAATCCTAGCTACTCAGGAGGCTGAGATCTGAGGATCACGGTTCAAAGCCAGCCCGGGCAGGAAAGTCTGTGAAACTCTTATCTCCAATAAAAAAAAACCACCAGAAACCGGAAGTGGCGCTGTGGCTCAAGTGGTAGAGTGCTAGCCTTGAGCTGAAGAGCTGAGGGACAGGGCTCAGGTCCATGACCGACAATAAAATAAAGTTAAAAAAAAAGGTTAGAGCTCATGGATGTTAAGCATCGTGAGGCTCTGGGTTCAATTCCTAGCACTGCAGAAAAAAATTTTAATAAGTTCTGAAAATAGCTCAGGAATAAAGCAGGGAAAGAAGAGGAAATGAGACTCTTTCTGTCTGCAACACTGGTGGCCAGGAATGCTTCTTCTAGGAAGGACCATGAGAAATTCTAGAGGTGACTGAACAATACCATTTTCAAGAGGCTTGTTACATTCAACTAGGAGGATTTCCATATTATTCCTTCTAGAAAACCAATGAGATAGGAATTTGTTATTCTCATTACCAAAAGTTCTCTGAGCTTGCCTAAAACCAGGTTACTAAAGGTTGGAACAGAGGTCTTCATGGAAACTAAGCTCTTCTCTTCCATACATCCAAAGACAAGCAACCTCTCTAGAGCCACCTTTACCGTAGAATATTAAGAAGACATTTTCTTTCATTCCCTTCATCCCTATTTATCTCCCTCCTTCTTTCCCTCCCTCCATTTTTTTCCTTTTATTGAGGGAGGGGATAGAAGGGGGTCCTGGAGCTTGAAATCAGGGCCTCTTGCTCTTGCTTGTCTTTTTTGGTCAAAGCTGGTGCTCTACCACTTGAGCTATAGCCCCATTTCTGGCTTTTTGCTTCCTAACTGGAGATTAAGAGTCTATTAGAGTTTTCTATCTGGACTGGCTTCAAACCTTCATCCTCAACCTCAGATCTCAACCTTGTGAACAGCTAAGATTATGGTGCTAGCTTCTCTCTCTCTCTCCCCTCTCTCTCTTTCTCCCTTCCTTCCTTCCTTTCTTTCTTTCTTTCTTGCTACACCACCAGTCCCCAGACCATTTTCCTTTCAGTGTGGATCACAAAAGTTTCTCTTAGCCATACCCTGCAGATGTGCACTGGAAGAGAGCTGGTCTAGATCCCAGTTCTCAGCAAGAGCAATGACTGCAGCTACTTAACAATGCGGGTGGGCATCTCCCCCAAACCTTAAATGGTAACGCATCCAGATGATCTTGTGTCTGACAGCAAGGTAAGAACTGGGAGAAAAAGAAGTCATTTGAGCCAAAAAGAAAAATCAGTAACAAGTTCAGGAAAAGAGTTCAGAATAGAAGACAATGGACATTTAAAAACAGAGTGGAACCTTTTACTTAAACAAAAAATCCAGAAAAACAAGAAAGGTCCTCAACTATTAGCTGACAGAGTTAAGAAAACCTGAAGTTGGTACCCTAAGAGCGAGAATCATCAGGAGCTCAGGGATGACGCATTTGACTCAGTAACTGTCGACTTTTGTCCATTTTTAGAAAAATGTCCAGAGAGACAAAGTTGCTAATGAGCTGATAGTTATAGAAGAAATCAAGGATCCCATAAGATGAAGAAACACGATGATAGAACAGGCCAGGATTTCAAACAAGAAATAACTAAGGTAATATTTAAAAATATTGAGAGTTCCGGATGCCTTATTATCAAATACAAAGGTCAGATACCAGCGTTGGTTAAGATCTCCCTGAGACTCTGTGAGACAGGACTTCCAAATGAAGGAATAGCCCAGTGAGGAGAGGAGCTCCACAGTTACAGTGTTACTCTGTGGAACACCAGTGGTCTGCAGGGCATCTGAGAACAGGGAGGAGAGTATGGTAGGTGGGCTGTCATTTGGGAGACTGTGCATGTGTTGCCGGGCATTGAGGGCATTGTATGGTTAAGTGTCTACTCTCTGCTAGAGGTCTTTACAAAATTAGAGTCTCTGGTATACTTCCCTTGACTTGCTGGTGGTTTAATCACACAGAAAGCTGAGCAAACTGCAACTCTGGATCCAATTCCAATCAACTGAGCAAGGTAGACCACAGACAGAGTTGGACACGTTTGGCCTGAGAAGCAGAAACAGCCAGAACCTGGAAGAAAGTATCCTAAAAGAAGTTGGTGATATATTTGATCTCTAAAGTTTCAAAGAAGTGATTTTTAAAAGTTCAAAGAAAACATACGCAGAACATGAAACTCAAAAGGGAAGATGCTTTCAGAAGAACGGGAGGACAGTGAAAAATGAACTCTTGCTCATACAATTGCAAATTATCCCTGAAGATGAAAAAGTAGACATGCTTAAAGGTACTCCTCCCCCAGGGAGCTAGCTAATGCTTTTAGAAGGCCCGTACAAAAAGATCAAGAACATAATAAAGAACGGGATCCTGGCCCATTCAAGAAGGCACCAAAGACCTGATGAGCTTAAACTAGTCAAAATGCTAATGAAAGGGGGGAAAAAAGGAGCTATTTTAAATCATATCTGAATCCAAAAGAATAAGAAAGACACAAGCCTGCTGTCAGGGCTGTGTAGTGGTTCCAGCTGGAAAGAATGAAGAAAAGAAAGGGAGGGATAATCTTTATACTAGAAAGGAAAAGTGAATCTTGTTTTCTTTGTTCTTTTTAGTGTTACTACTGTGGCTTGAACTCAGGGCCTGGGAGCTGTCCCTTTGCCTTTTCTGCTCAAGGCTAGTGCTCTACCACTTGAGCCATACCCCCATGTCCAGCTTTTGGTGTTTAATAAGAGTATCATAGGCCTTCCTGCCCAATCTAGCTTCAAACCATAATCCTCGGATCTCAGCCTTCTGAGTAGTTACGATCATAGGCTTGAGCCACGGCTCCAACAGGAAGAACAAATCTTGATGTGAAGGAAATGAAGAGAATGGAATTTAGAGATCTAATGAATACTCTTTTGACAGGCTGAACTCAAGTCAGTATATAGAGAAAGTTAACATCTGAAATGTAACCCATAATCTTTGAGAGTTTCTGATGAACCTGAGGTCAGGATTGATTCCACAGGCAAAGGATCAGTACAGGCAAAGTCCCAGTTTCTGGGAAACTCTATTGAGTAAAAGGTTTAAGAGTATTTAGAAAAGGAAATGATGACTCTGAGAAGGAGACTCTTCCTGAGATACTGCTACTAATAACAGCAAAGGTGATGGGGGGGGAGCTATTTGGATGAGAAAATGTGATGGACATTAAGCTCTCAATACAGCGTCAATGAGTTCTCCCATAATTCTCTTGCAAACAAGACAGAGGAATATGGCCCAAAGGACACCAGTCATGAGGATTCATGATGAGTGATGATCATCATGGAGTGACTGGATTAATTAAAAACCTCTTGAATGGGCTTAGAACACTGAGGTAGAAGATTTAAGAAAGGATTTGAGGAACAGATAAAAGCAACTTCAAGTACAACCTTCAAAAAAAAAAGTAAAAGAGGGGCCAGCTGGGCAGCTGTGCAATGTATAGAGAAAATATTTTCTATGTGTTACCTCAAAATAAAAGGCATGGGGAAAAGGTATGTGCTCAGTAAACTCCTAAGTGAGCTGTATGAAGACAGCAAGGGACTGTCCTGAGCTAGGGCACATACAGCATTGGCACCTCTATGGCCAGTGGCCATTTGTCCGAGATGGAGCATTGTTAACTTACAGTCCTATCTGAGAGGTACCAAATCCACAGAGTCAGACCCTAAAAAATCAGAGGGTTGGCAGGGTCACATTCCTTCTGGGCAATGTAGGAAAGAACTTATTTCCTGTCTTTCTCTAAACTCTAGCCCCTTTTCACAGCATTTCCAGCTCTGTTTCACCACATTTTTTTTTTGTCTTGTCAGACCCTCCTGCCTTGTCTTCTGGAAGATCCATGTCCCTAACGTTGGGTTGCCCACAAAACAAGAATTCCCCTTATCATGGGACTCTTTAATCATATCTACAAAGCCCTTTTTACAAGTAAATAAACATATTTAAAAGGTTCCAAAGATATGGTGGTAGAATCTTTGAAGATCTATTCATTATGTCTTTCAAGCCTCAAAGATTTAATTGATTCTGTTACTGGGAATATAAAGGACAGGAGACACATGAGCTCAAGCATTAAAATCTAAACTATAAGCTGGGCACTGGTAGTTCACGCCTGTAATCCTAGCTACTCAGGAGGCTGAGATCTGAGGATCATGGTTCAAAGCCAGCCAGGGTGAGAAAGTCTGGGAGATATTTCCAATTAAGCACCAAAAAAGCCAGAAGTGTTGCTGTGGCTTAAGTGGTAGAGCACTAGCTTTGAACAAAAAGCTCAGAGACAGTGCTCAGGCCCTGAGTTCAAGCCCCAGAACCAGCACACATACAAAAAAAAATCTATTAAAAACAATTGTATTAATGATATTAACAAAGCTTAAATACAAAGTTTAAATACAAGTTTGATGTAGTTAATTATGAACACTGAGTTAATTATTAACACTGAGCAGATAGTAATCATTCTCCAAAACTTTTCATGTTAAAAGTTAAATATTAACTTTTTAGTAGGCTGTAAAGTTGATTTCCTTATAAACTCCTATTCACAGGCTTCCCTAACTATTTAAATATAGCAACATACAGTGCCATTGAGCCAGGTGGCCGTCAGCTTATGATTATGCTAGAGCTACCCTAGACTTGTCCAGAGCTGGTCCAGAGTTCCAGGGGCAGGCAGGGGAGAGTGATCCCTTCCTTTTCACATTAGCAACTCCTATTTCTCTTCTCTCTGACCAGGGGTCTTGAAACACAACCAAAGGTGAATCTTCTAAACAACTTCTTTCTTTACAACTCAGCTCCAAATGAGAGAATTTTAAAAAAATAGGTTATGGACTTAGAAAATATTTTTTTTTCTTCCAAGATGTCAGCGGCCATCTCTCAAGAAAACATAGTAAGTATGATTGGGTGTACTACAGATGAATTAAAATCACGAGTAACACTTTTACTGAACAATTTCAAACCCCTCATAAAACAGCAATAATTGTTGTTGTTATTATTTTTGCTAGCCTTGGGGTTTAAACTCAGGGCTTTAAAGCCCTTTCCTTATTAGCTTTACTCATTCAAAGCTGGTACTTTACAACTTGAGCCACATCTCCACTTCTGGCTTTTTGCTGGTAAAGGGGAGATAAAGAGTGCTTGGACTTTTCTGCCTAGGCTAGCTTCGAACCCTGATCCTCGGATCTCAGCCTCCTGAGTAAGGTAGGATTACAGGTGTGAGTCACTCAGGTCCAGCTTTGATTGTTTTTACACAGAACTGTCCACAAACATGACCAAACAATCAGGACAATTAGAGGACAAAGAAATAGAGAAGAAAGGAGTAACTGCAGGGGAAAGGCACTTCCTCCGGGTAGACTGGGCTACAAGAGGAGAGGTGACTAAGTCTCACTGTGGTTTCTCTACCCCTCCACACACAGCCTGTCAACCGGTGATGGTGAAATGCAGACAAATACAAGGTGGAGAAAAGAGGGCAAGGCGGTGCCCCTGTTTCCTCCCCTGGCACACCTGGCACCATGATTCACCCGTGGTAAGCACCTAAAGGATTGTAGAACAACGAATCCTTTCATTAGTTGGAAACTGTGGGCCAGGACCTTAGCTAAAAGCCGGAAATGGGACTTACTTTACTGTCCTTGTCTGGCTTGCTTGTGGAACTGTTCCCACAAGCCGAGGAAACGTTGTCGGGAGATGTGGGCAATCCAGGGAGAATGGTCACCGTCCGGCCACTGGGTTCCGTTTCCAGGCAGGCAGCGGTGATGCTCGAGGAGGCCAGAGGGGCGCTGGCCCTACTGATACCGCCCGCAGCAGCAGCAGCAGCAGCAGCAGCACCTGCCATAGCAGGCAGAGGCTGTGGGGAGGCTAGCGAGTGATGAGGCAGGCCCACAGGTGCAAGGCCCAGGCAGGTGGTGTTCTGAACCTGGATGGGTGTCACCGCTGCCGTGGGCCGCTCTTGGTTATGTGCTGCCACTAGCGGAGGACAAGAGGGAACAGAGCAAAAGTCAGCTTCCTGCCAAATACTGCTCAGCAAGACGCTCACTGCATCCCATCAGACCATAACCAAAGGCTGCTACTGCCATTTATTCTAATAGAGAAGGGGTGTAGTGGGATTCTGGTGTACTTAAGTAAGTCATGATTGGATTCCTGGATCTACTAACCTTCTAGGTCAGAGCTAGAAGCTCAGCTATAACCCCAGGACCCTTTAGTTACAAAGAATAGTGATCCATAGTATCGGAGATACAGGGCCAATTTTGAAAAGTGCCAAACCACAACAGCTGGCATCTGTTTCCTTCACCTATTAACCATCTTTCTTTTTCTTTTTTTTTCTTTCACAGAAGTCACTAGTCTTTATGCTGCCAAGTCTTATGATAGGTTTTTAATGCTACAGGACTTAGGGATCTAAGATCCCACTGGATCTAAAATAGAGCTGGGATGACATGCACCACAACCTAGTAGAAAATCACAATAGTCACGTGCTAGGAACAGTGAAATCTGAGACCATGCATGTCTGGACTATAGAAGGCCTGATTTAAAATACAACACTGTTGACAGTCTTCACTTTGGCCTAATTCCTTTCTTTCTGGTGTTTGATCGCTAGGTCCATCCTGAATCAACGTAAAAGGAAGGCTTAGCCCAAATGAACAGTTGAGAGTGCCTGTTATGGAAGGTTTGGTCCCCCCTGGTGGTGCTAGTGACAGCTGATTGGCTCTTGAGTACATTAATGTCATCAGTGGGGGTGTGTCTTTGAAGGGTCTGTTTTCTGGATGTCATAAAGTGAGCAATTCTGCTCCTATATCTTTTCTGCCACAAGTCCCAGCAATCAACCAGCATGGTCTAAGAACCTCTGAAATCATGAGCCAAAATGAATCTCTCTTCTTTTTAGATTGTTCCTTTCAGATGTGGCCACAGCGATGAAACGATGTCAGTACCTGGGACTAGATTGTGCCTGCTTCTGTTTCCTAACGTCATTCATTATTTGAATGGCAAACCTAGTTCCCTAAACATCGGGCCTAAGTGATCTTCTCTTAAGCAGGCAAACCCTTTCCCTCAATGTTATTCTCTTACAGTTTCCTTCCTACCTGTCCTCACAGCATTGCGGGCTTGGTTGACGGTCATCTGCCCAGTCATCTGCAACAGGACTTTAGCTTGAGGACTTGTCTGGATGTGAGCTGCTGATACCACGGCCGTGGGAACCACACTGGGACTGCCAGCCACACCATTTCCCTGGAGCTTCGGGGCAGGCGCTCCTGCACTAGAAGGGCTGACCATGGTCACCACTCGACTCGTCTGTCCCGCAGTAGACACAGGGACTTTAGCTTGAGAAGCATTTGTTACCGTCCTGCTAAAACAGAAACAGATGGAAAACCTACTCTATCAGCAAAAGAAGAGAACAGAACAATTATACACAAGAAAAATGACTCAAAGATATTAAAGACAGAATTTTTTTTGGGGTGGGGGGAGGGACAGGTCCTGGGATTCAAACTCCTGGGTTTGGGTGCTGTCCCTGAGCTCTATTTTGCTCAAGGCTAACACTCCACCACTTGAGCCACAGTGACACTTCTGGCTTTTCTGTGACTAATTGGAGATAAGAGTCTCACGGGCTTTCCTGCTTGGACTAGCTTTGAACCGCAATCCTCAGATCTCAGCCTCCTGAGTAGCTAGGATTACAGGTGTGAGCCACTGGTACCTGCTTACAGATTTTTTTTTTATTAAATGAATGCAATTTTTTTAATAGGTTTTAAGAAGAGCAGATTCAAAGAAATGATGGCCCTGGGTCAGAGAAAGGTCTTGAAATTGTTCTGACTCACCAGAAACCACATGCCATACTTCGCCTAAGAAAGAATATATATATACAATTGGTAGTGGGTTTAGCCTTTCATTTGGAGGCCAGGCCTCTACTAACCTCCGAGGCCCTGAATTCTCTTGGGCCTAAATAATGTTTATTCCCTTGCAGTCTTCACACTGCCATAGTTTTATTCCTGTTTGTCTTCTGGCTTCTTTCTACTTGTCTCTAACATATTGCCACCAGTGCCAATAAACATAGTGCACATGCACACACACACACACACACACACACACACACACACACACAGAGTGCCTCCCTCTCCCTTACTCTAGTTCTCCCTCCTCATCGCCTCCCCCCCCCACCAAAATATCCTTTCTGGCATCTCCTAAACTACCTCAGTCATATTTACATTTCAAGATCCAGTACAAATCCTAGCATTTCAGGAAGTCTTGTCAAGTTCAAGTGTGAGACCTTAGGATTCTACACAATTCATGTAGATCCTGGCCTTCATTGTGTCTTTATATTTCAACCCTTGATTACAAAAATGTGGCGTCTTTTAAAAAATAAATTCCAACAATGGAGGGGGTAAAAAAAAATTCCACATGAAATACTGATGACTTAAGATTGAATCAATGAAAACAGGGCTCATGTAAATAAATGGTTCTTTTTTATTCCTCCACCGTCTGCACAGCAGTAAAGGTACAGACCAGCTCTCAACCTTTACTTACAGACTGAACTTAATTAAGTACAGACTATTGTGTAGTGTATTTTTTGATATGTTAAATTCATTGAAATGATGACAATTTGGAACATGGCCGATTTTCTACTAGGTAGAATTCTTCATTAACTCAAATATCCTTATTGTTTACAATGATGAATAACAGAACATTCATTTGCTGTAAGCAAGCATTTCTCCAGAGTTAAACAAACAGAGGTTTTTAATCATTTGTTTTCGAACCTTGTAAAAAGTGTCTTTCTTCATTAACTTCAATTTTTTATTGCTGTTTCTTGTATTTCCCTTATTTTTTAAAATTATTTTTAATTATTATTGTTATTTTGCACCAGGGAGATCCTATCTGCCATTTCCTGGGTGGGTTGGATCCTGAATGTAGAATTTAACAAGTACAGAAAAGGTTGATATTGATTAAAAATTTGCAAGTCAAATTAAAGCTAACAGTCTGCCACCATCTGCAACGATAGTGATTTTCATTTGATTAGGCTGCCGGCCAACCTATAAATCAAGGGCAACAGCTGACAAACATGTCAGTTCATTAAGCCATTTGTCTAAAATCAAGAGGGTTGAGCAGAGATTGAACACAGCTAAACCTGAGCCATTTCTTAAAGAACCCAGTGGTCAAAGCCAGGATTTCCCAGTATTCAGTTTATTATAGGTTATTTCTTTCAGTTTCTGACACTTCTTTGTCCTGTGACCAGAAGATACACTGTCTTTTAAAAAAAGAAAACTATTTATTATTATAGAAACTTAATATTTTGTGGAAGCATATTTTAGGAAGTGCCTATCATTCTACATGGATTCTCAAATTCAGTGATCTTTGGGGGGCCAGAGGATCCTTTTGTGGGGGCTGTCTGTGTATTGCAGGATTTAGCAGCACCCCTGGTTTCCAATGCATGATATGCTAAAGGCACACTCCCAACTCCCCAAGATGTGACAATCAGAAATATGTCCAGATGTCACTAAATGTCCCTTGGGTATGAAACTGTCCTCAAATAGATCTATTCTATATATAATGAATTTAGATATCTTTTTTATTTTATTCCATCTATTATATTCATTATTCTATTTATTTTCTATTTATTTTATTTCTTTCTATTCTATATTTCTACTTTATAGATATTAATTGCCAGAATTTTCAGGTCAATTCTGTGACCACCAAGTTAATGGAATAACTACAGATCTAGACCACATAAGTTTGAACACTTCTTTACTGTGACCTCAGACAAGTTAGTCAAATGTCCCTGTCCCTAAATTTCCTCATCTATGAATAACAGATATGACACCAATGGGTTAAGGACAAAGAGTTTATACATGTAATGCGGTTAGAAATCTGCCTGTCTGGTGAATAGCAGGCATTCTGCAGACATTTAGGTATTAACAATGCTGCTTTAATTTATTTTAAATATCGTGCCTTTTATTTTCCAGGAGGAAAATGCTGAAAATGGTAGAGCTGAGCCTTCCCACATATAAATTAAAGCAAGTAGCTCATAACCCGAGACATTCATTGGTGGAAACCTATAATTTCAACACATACCCATGGGAGAAGTAAGCTAAGAATCTTAGTGTTGGAAGGGATTTTAGCAGAAATAGATGTGGATTTTAAAAGCTTTGGCTTTAGAACAGGCAATTAAAATGCAAGAAGGAATCTGAACAGGCTGGAAACCCTGAAGAAAAAAAAAAAGAATCAAGCGTCTGTGTTTAGCACTTAGTAAACAATTTATTCACAACCATACCTTGTGACTGGTGCCACATAATTGCCAGGGAAAACTCCAATCTTGCTGGTATGCATCGATGTCCCTTTGAACCAACCATCCTGGCAACGTTCAAACACCAAAAACATCTCCCCTTTTCTCAGCTCTAGTTCATCCTCCTTCCGAGGAGTGTATGGATATATAGCAACATACCTAGAATGGAGAAAGCTATTTGATTCCAGGCTGACAAACAAAATCTCAATCTACTCAAAACTCTTGCTTGGTACAAAGTCTTAAAACAGTTTGCACAAATGTACCCAGAAAGTAAGCACTTCCAAGGGCTGGTAGCTCATGCCAATAATCCTAGCTACTCAAAAGGATGTGATCTAAGGATCAGAGTTTGAAGCCAGCCGGGCAGAAAGTCAGTGAGAGTCTTATCTTCAATTAACCAGCCAAAACCTGGAAGTACAAGTGTGGTTCAAGTGGTACAGCACTGGCCTTGAGCAAAATAAGCCAAGCAAGGGAGCCCTGAGGTCCTGAGTTCAAGTGCCAGTACCAACAAAAACAAAAAGAAAGTAAAATCTTTTAACCTGTAAAGTCCAATTGGCAAGTCTCTTTTGAAAGAAGTCTTGCTGTCTATGCTTTTTAGCATATTAAAAACTGCTAAAGCTTTTCCTGCCAGTGTGGTAGAGACAGTCCCACCAAATGGTATTTGTGTTGAAGGATTAATGCAGTTTTCCCAGAGTGTCCACACTGCTCTCACACATTCGAAGTCCACTGGGAACACGGTTTCCCAAATGGCACTCATTCGACTTGGGAAGCAGCCCCCACATGCTGACAAAAGGTATAAAATCCCACTGAGATGCCTATAGACTGGTCTTCCTCACACAAGTAGAACTTAGAGGCTTGGGCTGTTCCTTCTTCTGTTTGCTCAGCCAGGAAGCAGGCTGAAGAACATCAAAGGAAAGCAAAGGGTAGGCTACAGAGAGAACGAAACAACTCCACAATGCAAAGTAACTGGGCCAAGCCCCACACAGAAACCAGGGAAGAAACCTGGAGTTCTTCACCATCAGCACTCTGAATTGTTTGGGTATAAATTCATACCACGCAGGTGACACCTAAAATCCTGTTGCATTCTGCAGTCAGTAAACACTGCACAGGATAATTTGATCTTTCTGGATGCCTATTGCTGGGGACTTACAGGGTTGGTTTTTGTTTTGTTTTGTTTTGGTGCCCATCCTAGGGCTTGAACTCAGGTCCTTGAAGTCTTGCTTAGCTTTGTCTGCTCCAGGTTGGTGCTCTACCACTTGAGCCTCATGAATTTGCCTGCCAGGGCTGACTTTGAACTGTGATCCTCAGATCTCAGCCTCCTAAGTAGCTAGGATCATAGGCACATTCCACTGGTGCCCAGATGACTTATAGCTTTTTATATGCAAACTCCAGCTAGATCTGATTTTTGTGAAATATCTTCCAATTCCTTAACATGCTGCCAGCAAGGAAGAAAACAAAGCCTGCAAAAAAAGGAGGGCAATCCCGTATACATCCACTGTTATCAAGAAGCAAACAGTGGGTTTCCTTGAACTCTAAAAGGCCTTGGCTCAGCATGTGGTTTCAGCAGTTTCTTAATTACAGGTACTGCTGGGTAGAGGTTTGCAGAACACAAACCACTCGGTGAGCCAGGTCCTGTCCCTAGTTCCAACCAGGAAAATGCTTCTCTAGGTGCTGTTGGGTGTTAGTTGTCTACGAAGGCTTAAGCAGTTATAGAAGGTGTCCTCACTTACACGCTGGGGCGGCTCTGAGGCCGTAAATGTGCAATCTGGTCAGTGGGTCCCGTCCCAGGCCTTGGTCCCACTCCAGTAGCAGCGGCGGCGGCAGCAGCAGAGCCCGGTGGTGTAGAGGCCAGGACAGTGGCAGCCAGGAGAGGGGGTGGAGGAAGAGGCGGATTCATAGTCTGGTATAGAGAAATGGTAGAGAAAGGAACAAGTTATTTATTTAAGCCTTCCCTGTCATGTGGAACGGAAATCCACAGGAGATGTTCATAGAATTTACCCAGCGCAGAACCTGCAGACTCTTTCCTATGAAAGTTCCGCCTTTCAGATGGGTGCCCATGGCTCAAACCTATATGTTAGCAATTCAGGAGGTTGAGATCTGAGAATCTTCATTCAAAGCCAGCCTTGCCAGATAAAGCCAAGAGACTCTTATCACCAATCAACTACTATGATACTAAGGGTGGTCAAGGGGTAGAGCACTAGTCTTGAACAACAACAACCAAAAAAAAAACAAACCCCAAAACAACAAAAATCCAAGAACACAAGCACAAGGCCCTGAGTGCAAGTCTGAGTACTGGCACAAAAAAAAGAAAAAGAAAAGAGAAATTCCCCTTTAAAAATTCATCTTTTCAGTAAACAGGTACATAATCACCACTGAGAAGAGGGAAAAGAAAAAAAAATTAATCGCTTCTAATTATAAGATTAAGAACACCTTAAAGTACAGATTTGGAAGAACTCATATGCCTTTGAGGAGGCCGCTATAAATCATGCTGCTTGCGAAGGACTAATTTGTGATTGTTTCAAACACAACCCAGAACAATTCAGCTGCAGCATATCTCAAACCAGTCCTTCGGAAGACAATTTTCTTTTGATGCTTGGTCTCCAAAAAGCCCAACAATAGCCAGCCACAGTCACCAGGCTATTGTTGCTACTTTGGCTTACTCTTTTCTTTAACATTGCCAGCTTTTGAAATTTAGGACTATCAAGGCTGGTAATCTTTAACAAGTACCCTAGTGAAAAGCTGCTGGTTTCTTTATGGGCATGGCCTAATGGGGTCTGCCTACAGGATTCCCTGCCTTTGAAAATCAATGGAGCAATTGTTACCTTCTCCTCTATAATCCCCAGATCATTCTTTATGGTCTGTATACAGAAACTCCTGGGAAAACAGGCACACAAAGATTGTATGAACCCCCCATCTCGGCCCTCCCCCAAATCTTTGAACCACTAGATATAAAAGTTGAATCAAAGGAGAAATAAGAGGACTAAAGAGAACACACCTAGGGAGCAGAAATGGTTTCTACACTTCAGCATATTAATGAGTAAAACATCAAATGATTTCTAATCATAGCCCATAAGTCATTTCATGTGTTGTTGTTGTTGTTGTTGTTTTTTGGGGGGTACAGGGTTCCAGTTTCTAGACATCTATTTTGTGACTGACATATTTAATCATTTGCCAGTGTGACTTTGGGCAAGGACTTATTTTTCCCACGCTGTGAGAGAGCATTTAGTATAGAAGGAAATGAGGCGTATGCTGCTTTACTGGGTGCTAACCGGACACAGCAGAGGTCTGTTCAAAAAGTTGAGAACATCCTGGAAAAAGTCACTCACACTCTTCAATACCAAACATGCAGCCTTAAGATCTGGGACAGCTCTGGAATTTGCACGATCTAGACTTGCAGAAGAAGGGGAAGGTCAAACATTCATTGTGCTTGGCCTCCTTCCAGTGACAAAGTAGAGAGAAATAAAGATAATCCCGACAAAACAGTCAGCAAATGTGACCTGAGCGGTTCCAAGAGAATAATGCATCAGCTGCCTGACAGGTGAGATAACACGTCTAAATGTACGCAGAGTAATACATGGAGAAACTGTGAAATTACCACTTAACTGATTTCCATTCCAATCTTTCTAAGCCTGATCTCAAAGAGGTGTAGCTGTGAAAAGGCAGAAGACAAATGGCATGTGCTCACAGGAAATTAAAATTATCAAGTATGTCTTGGCTTTACGGAAAAGAAACTGAACTAAATTGAGCCTAAGAAGAAAAAGGCAAAAAGCATCTCTGGTCCCGATAAAAAAAAACATATGCCAATTTTAACAAAATGTAAAGGATAAAGGTCACTTCTTATCATTACAGTAAATACAGTAAGCAAATGCTTTGTGCACGTCACTCAAGCAAAGAGAAGAGTTAGGGGCTGAGATATGGCAGAAGGCAGATATTCTGAAAGATCTCAAAGCTTGTGTCGAAGAAGAAAACACCCTTTCAATTATCTAAGAAGAAAACACCCTTTCAATTATCTCCTTTTGTGATTGAAACAAAAGATAGTCTAAATAAAACTGGGTAGATATTCCCCCCCCCCACTACAGAATAAATGTGCAAAAGACAAAGAGAGAAAGCCTGATTAAAATCAGATTGCTAGATGCTGTCAGGTCCTACGTGGTTGGTAAAATGGGAGGACTCTGCTTAGTCCAGGGCTGTGACACGCTAGGAAATTCTGTGGGTTGCTTTGTAAACACGTTGAACTGAAAGAATCTGGTGATGTGGAAGTTCAAAAGGTAATCCACAGTCATTGTGCGGCAGGCAGTCTGTTATCCGGCAAGACCTGAAATTTCTATAGAGCAAAAAGCACAGCCAGCCTTTCTTTCCTTCACCAGGGAGTTGACCAGGAGACCTGCCTATTTAGTACAGTCTGGGCCTGCCCAGCACCAGGATGCTATAACATTCACAGGTGCTATGAACAAGGCCCATTTTCTTTAGGAGTGGCTTGTTTTTGTCAAGTGGTCATCTCTTCACGTGTTCAAGTTCGATTCCCTCTGAGCCCCTGATCTGCCTTGATGAAGACAGGAAAGAGGACACATTCCCACCCTGACCCTTCGGGCAGACTCCTTGGCTACAGTGAGTGAACACCCACAGTGTTCTCAGGGGGACTGTACTGCTGGACAGTTGACAGGCCACGTGTGCTAGTGGACATTGCTCAAACCCAGGTTTAAGAACATGGGTTTGGACACCATCTTCCTCTCTGGTACCATTTCCTCCTTCAGCCCAGAGAACAGTTAGATCTGGCTCTGGCTAAGGAAGGATGGAAACACGCCAGTTGCTCTCCTACCTGGGCTATGGACCAAAGGCCAGCCTACCAGTAAAGTGCTTTGCATTGGAATTTTAGGCACAAGTTTAACTTCAAATGAACAAAGGCTCATTTCCTTTTTGACTGTCTCTCCAGGGTGCATCCCAATCACACACTTCCCTGGGAAGAAAGTGGGTCTTAGACAAATACTACTTAATATCTTCCAATCTTGTTATCATTTCTTTCTAAACTCTTGATTTCCAATCAGTCCCCTTTCATCTATATTTTCTCAACGGTCTTTCTGTAGACTGAACTTGGACATAGATAAATTGGTCAATAAGGGGCTGGTTGAATATAAAATACTCCCCCAAGTCGACAGTGTGGCCAGTTTCAACAGCATTGTTGTCTGTAGGCCTACACTGTAATTTACTGCTCCACGTTTCATCTATAAGAAGGAGAAAGATTTCTACAGTAGTTAATTGTGTAAATTACGTAAGGTCTCTATGCTTTAGTATACCCATCTGTGAGGTGGAATTAATCATTAAGAGTTTATGTAGGTGGCCTCAGACCAGTGCCCCAGAGCAGAGCAAGAACTCAATAAATAGAAGCTACTGTTATGATTCACAAGATTACAAAGTCAGAGACTGTCTTACTCATCATTCTAATGCTGGCCTGGAGCTTTGTAGCCAGACGAATGAGAGTTCATCAATGAGTGCTTCATGAATGTGAGAACATTCTGTGCTCTGAACTCCTCCCTCTTAGAGCAACAGGACATGATCCAGAAATCTCAGCTCTAGAGATCCTAGAATCCTTTTTCTGATGCAGCTATGAACATTTTGCCCATGATCCTAGCTAGCTTTCATTCTGACTTTAGAACTCTTATGGTTTGCAAAGGATCCACCTTCTCCCTCCACAACTACAGAGGGTCTGGCCTCTACCCCCTACTTCCAAAGCCCTGCCCTTTTCCTGTTCACAGAAATAGGCTCTGCTTAGCCTCCACCATGGCTACAACAGACTAAATATTGGCTATTTGGAGACCTGACATCATTTAACATTTCTTTAAACACATGTGTGGGTGTGTACGCACATGTATGCGTATAAAGATTTTAAATTGTCTACATACTTTTGGAGTGAAATCTGCTCATAAGTTAGCCATGGGTGGTATTTGGCCTTTAAGGCATTGGCTACCTTCTGCCCAATTTCCAGCCGACTGAACACTGGTGTAGAGTATCAAGGGACTGGAAATCACTTGTTCCAGAAGCTATTCTGAATTGTACAGAGGAAACAAAACTAATATTTTCACCCTTCTCATCCCATAAAACCAGTCAATAATGACAAAATGATCATAAATCTCACTTTATCGAAGGCATTGGAAATAATTTTTACTTCCTTTTCTAGTGGTGGTTCTTTGTTATCCATAAATGCAGACCATAAAACACCTGGTCACTTTTCTACCAAACTACATACTACTGCTAAGATAGACCTCCAATTCTTCAGCGATGTTTCAGATTTCATTAGAATACTTGCCACAATAAATGTACAATGCATAGAGTGCATGGTATTGAGAGTTTTCTACTTACACCAATCATATGAAGTCCAAACCATTTCTACCAAACGAATAGGGACTTTGAGATCTACACCTCTACTGGGATGATGGACAAGTCTGTTTATAATTAGTTTTTCATTAAACGGAATTGGCATGGCAGACACACGGTTTAATAAAGCTTTCTCTTGCTTAATATGCAGGCTTTCTTATATAATCCTCAGATAAAATGGTTCAACATAAATTAATTTTTATATATTCAGGCTCTCCTGTGACCCATCCCATTGATTTGCCCCAGAGTTGACTAAAAGAATTGGCCATTTACTACACTGTAAAATTTTTGGTTTACCAGGGCTGAAACTCAGCCAGCCTTATGTCTTTTCCACTAATTAATTTCTGGAAGATCAGAAAAGTCCGTCTTCTTTTTCCCCTTAAGAAATCAAGTTAGAATTTTTCCATGCAAGGTAGTCATCTGGAAATGGAAAGAGCAAGGGGCTGTGTGTACAGACTGGGGGTGGGAAAGAAAGGGGAAAGTCTCCCATGGAGATTGGAGGGCAGGATCGTTAGGAAATCTGGCTCCAGTCAGACATCCGGGGCTAATAGAACCTCATGGAAACCACATTTAATAAATATTAGCTGAAATCCATCTTCTCCAGATGAGTCAAGGCAACTTCTCCTCCCTTGTATTGTCAAGGAAATGATGGTCATTCAGGGAATATTACCCAGTCTCTCAAAAAAAAAAAAAAAAAAACAAAACCAAAAACCCAGAACATTATTAACTTCCCTTCAACTACAAGAGCATGTTTAACTCTATAAAAAGCCTAAGCTAAGTAATAACTGTAAATTTCTTTATACCCTACCTTGTCTCAAAATCAGTTTTTAATTATTTATAAAAAAATCTCAAGACAAAGACACTAAGTAAGAAAAATAAAGCAAACGGAAACTGAAGAAAATGAAACTAGAGGAAGCCAACTTTTTTTTTTTTTTTTTGATCGGTTGTGGGGCTTGAACTCTGGGTCTTGGCGCTGTCCCTCAGCTCTTCAGCTCAAGGCCAGCGCTCTACCACTTGAGCCACAGCACCACTTCTGGTTTTCTGGTGGTTTATTGGAGATAAGAGTCTCATGGACTTTTCCTGCCTGGGCTGGCTTTGAACCATAATCCTCAAATCTCAGCTTCCTGAGTAGCTAGAATTACCAGTGCCTGGCAAAGGTAACATTTTGACTGGTATGGGGGGTGAAGTCTCTGTTGGAGGGGCTCTAAACAGTCTAACAGAGGCAAATATAATCTTTAACACACGTGTGTGCGCGTGCACACGTGTGTGTGTGTGTGTGTGTGTGTGTGTGTGTGTGTGTAGTCTATAAAATCCATAATCTAAAAGCAAACTGACTGTGAAAAGCCTCACTGCTGCTGGTACATGGAGCAGAGAAAAACACAGCAAAGCCAACTATACCCTCCAAGGCCAGCCCCAATTTGCAACAGTCCTCAACAGAAATCAATAAGAGGATCAATAACTCCCGTGCCCCTCTCTATGTCCTCCCTCTATGACACACCATCATGTCATCTCACAAGCAGAAACTCTGAGCAACTTTCCATGGCAGCGTTGGGATTCAAACCCGGCTCTGGCTCATTCTAAGGCCTGTACACCATCATCAGGGCATCATCGCTGGCGACAGGTGTGAGGGAGGTAGGGTGGAGTGATTCGCCATTCAGGTACCAGGGCAATCTGATTTAAAGATGATTCCTATCCTCATTCAACTCAGGCTTGGAAAGTATAAACCAAATCTGAAAATATAAGCCACAGTATTAGCCTAAACCAGAGATGGGGCACAATTGCCAGTTCTTGCCTATAATGTTAGGAAGCAGGAATGCTGTTCTTCTCTGCTGAAAGTTGCATTTCCTTCTTCCTTTGTGTGTGTGTTGGGGGGAGGTGGGAGAGGGGTGCACATGCATGTGTGCATGCCAGTCCTGGGGCTTGAGTTTAGGACCTAGGTGCTGTCTGAAGCTTTTGTGTTCAAGGCTCTACCACTTTGAGCCACAGCACCATTTCCAGGTTTTTACTAGTTAACTGGAGATAAGACTCTCACAGACTTTCCTTCCTAAGCTGGCTTTGAACCATGATTCTCATATCTCAGCCTCCTGAGTAGCTAGGATCACAGATGTGAGCACCAATGGGCCTCTTTCTTCCTTTTAACTTTCCAACTTCATTGTGTTTATTTCCCTTAGCTATTCTCTCTCTTCCTGTTCATTTCCCCTGCATCAGACTTTTTTTTTGAAAACAATTAGTTATTAGATTCTATCTGTATAAAGTTTTTAGAAGGAAAATCACCATAAGCTAAAGAACCCTCTCAAGATGGCAGGGACCTTTAGAGAGATACAACTACCAGCTCCAACAAGAGAAGACAACAACAAAATGATTGTGTGTGTGTGTGTGTGCGCACACACACACACTGGTACTGGGGCTTGAACTCAGGGCCTTATATGCTAGCTTAGCTTTTTAGTTCAAGGCAGGAGCTCTACCACTTGAGCCATAGTTCCACTTCTGGCTTTTAGCTGGTGAGTTGGAGATAAGCGTCTCACAGACTTTTCTGCTTGGGGTAGCTTTGAACCAAGATCCTCAGATGTCAGTCTTGTGAGTAGGTAGGATTACAGACATGAGAAATGTTAGAAGGCAGCATCAGGCCAAGAGATGAATCTTAAATGTAGAGATTTGAAATCGGCATGCTGTATGACTTAAAGCATGCCACTTAGCCTCTGAGACCTTTCCCCCCCAGTATTTCTATAAATGTGCCTTTAAAAGAAATAAGCAGGATCTAGAAACTCCAAAGATATAAAGGTTAAGCCTTCAGGAAATCGAGTTGCGCCGTAATAAAATGAAACGTAGTTTTTCCAGAATTCTTCTTAAAGCTTCAGGCCACTGATTCTCACTGTTAAAAATCCTGCAGGCTTGTATTCAAATGTTTTTTTTCTTTCATTCGATTGTTTCTAACACATTTATAAGATTATTTCTTTATTGCTTTGTATGTCCCTCCCCAACAGTATAACCCCTGCTTTCACTGTATTTGATGTCGGTATAATTTGTGGAGGGGAAGGGGAAAAACAAATTGTTTAAATATGGATACAGGTGGACCCATTGCAACAATGAGATGTACAAGTCATTATGTTGAACAATGAACTTTACAACTTTGGTGCAGAGGGTGGGGGTGGAGGGGTATAGCGGGGAGGATTGGGTAGGGGGGTGGGGGGAGGATGGGAAGGGATGGGAAGGGGAAACAAAGGAGGAGGCTACAATGCTTGATAAGAAATGTACACACTATCTTGCCCATGTAATTGTAACCCCTCTGTACAGTATTTTCACAATAAAAAAATAAAAATTAAAAAAAATCCTGCAGGCTGCAGGCCAGAGACTGCCTCGTGTTATTTATTTCTTTATTTTCCTGGTAAGATTAGCATCAATAATAGATGAAAGATAGAGAGCCATCCCAATTAGAAGTCTCAATGTAAACTACAGGTGTGAGGAAGTAGCATGTGCCAGATTAATATAAGTAAACACTTCAAAGAGAAATAACAGACAGAAACTACACTTACTCCAAGGGCAGCCTGGTAGGAAACATCTGATGGGAAAGTGAACGCCGAGCCGGTGGTCACTGGGCTGCTTGGGGGTGGGGTCACAATTAACCCAGTGGTACTTATATGAACCTGCCAAGGGGAGAAAGACATCCATTATTAAAAACCAAGACTCTCTTATACACAACAGATTGTACTGGCAAGAAGTCACATTTAAAAACCCTTACCTTCAGTTTTTTACTTCTTTGGGTGTGTGTGTGTGTGTGTGTGTGTGTGTGTGCTGGTCCTGGGACTTGAACTCAGGGCCTGGGTGCTGTTCCCTAGTTGTTTTGCTCAAGGCTGAGGCTCTACCACTTGAGCCACAGCTCTACTTCCAGCTTTTTGGTGGTTAAATGGAGATAAGAGTCTCATGGATTTTCCTTCCTGGACTGGCTTTGAACCTTGATCCTCAGGCCTCAGCCTCATGAGTAGCTAGGACTACCAGCACCCAGCCATCTTCAGTTATTTTGGGAAGACCCTTTCAGTTTATTCAATTCCAAGTTTACTAATGCTCAAATATGTACCAGGATGTGAGAATCATGTGACAAACCCTACTCACTACTATATCTGCCATTCAACTGTTGTTGGCTTTACCAATACCATCTTGCCTTGTATAGTAATTATGAGTCAAACTAATCTTTCTGTCAGTCCACTGGTCCTCTACCATCTAACAATTTCCCTGAAGATCTGGTTAAGGTGAACTGTGGCTGAACACTTATCGGTCCATCAATAGCTGAAGTCCATGTAAAATTCCTAATGTATTGTATTGTGCTCTTTTCAAGATGGTGACTTCTACCTTCTACCAGGGAAGTATAATTAAAATGCAGCTGCCGCCACATGCCTATAACAGTCAATTATTTATTAAACCTTTAAAGGAACAATGTCAAGCCAAATTAGTTGTTTTCAAAGGTGTCTTTTCCCTGATACCATCCAAGATTAATTTACTAGCAAGAAATTGAGTTATTCAGGTCATTCCATTGCCTGCATTCAATCACTCGGTCAATTTCACTCAGGTTTCAGAGCAGGTCCGACTGCAGCGCGCAGCTCTGTAGAGCGATAGTTGGGGGCAGGGATCTGACAGTGCTTTCCCTCCAATATGTATCGTTATCTGTTTTCCCCCAGGTAACCATGAAGCCTCAAAAATGCTTATTTTAGAATGATAAAAATATCACCTCCAACATGGTTGCTTCAGTTTCCATACATTAAGAAAAACAAGATTATTGGGATGAAGACATGCTCAAAGATAAGTTCCCAGAGGGACTCAAGAAAATTTTCCATTTCCCAATGGGTTAAGACTCTAAAATGGCCTGGTATTAGAAGCATTATGGCATGATTTATCTTCACAAGTAAATCTGTAGAACTGTATGTAGATTCTATAACCTTTAAAAAAATTGATCTGGGGCTGGGAAGGTGGCTCAGTAGTAGAGCGCTTGCCTTGCATGCCTGAGGCCCTGGGTTCAATTCCTCAGCATAAGCAAAAAGAAATAAAGCCGGAAGTGGTGCTGTGGCTCAAGTGGTAGAGCGCTAGCCTTGAGCTATACATACTTCAAGAGCATCTGCAAGTTGGTACACACAAAAACTTATGTAACAAAGCTCATCTCAAAGTAGATATTATTATTAAAGAATCTTTGTGGCAGGAAAAAAACCCCCACAGCTTCCAGGGCCTACTCCTTCAAATTCATCAAAGACAGGTTTTATTATCGACAGACATTTCTCTAAAAACCCCAGTTGTGGGAGCCAAAATAATTGGCAATGAGTGACCATGGCTGCAGGATGTCACTTTGTTTCTGGACTCTGGTGAAGGAGACAGATAGGCCAGAGACTGCCTTGGGTCTCTTGTCCTCACAGGTGAAGCACTGACAGATAGAACACAGACTCTTGAAATCACCGCTCAGGGCCACTGTGAGCACAAGAGCAAAGAAGAGGAACCACCAAAGAAAGACAAGGGAGAACAAGAAGCCTAAGTAGATGAGCTGAGGGCGAGCATGAACAGAGACAACCTGTTAACCTGCTATCTTCTTCTCATGGAATTACAAAAATGAGTTCAAGTCTCCTCTATCAGAAAAGACTAGTGAAGAGGACAGCGAGGAAAAGTAAACTGGAGTGGAAAATGGGCCTTTATTTTAATTTTATTTGTGTGTGTGTATGTGGGGGAGGGACTTGGGCTTGAACTCAGGACCTCTTGCTCACCCTGCTTGCTTGCTCACGACTAGTGCTTTAGCACTTATGCTATGCCTCCAGTTGACCATTTCGCTGGTGAAATTGGAGTTGAGAGTTCTCTACCCAGCCTGGCTTCAAGCTGAAGTTCTCCAGATCTCAGTCTCTTCAGTAGCTAGGCTTATTGGTGAGCCTACTGGTACCCAGCTGGATCAGCCTCCTTGTCTCCCCTGTGGCCACGGGCAGTATGAAGTGGCCACAGAAGCAGACAAAAGTCCCGGTTGCTTATACCATTGTGGGCTTCACAGAGCTACCCATGCACATATGTGCTGGTAACCCCATTGGCACACAGCCTAAAAGGTATCTTCCAGTTTATGCTTTGGAAATTCACCCTGGGTGTGATGGTTCACACCTACAGTCGCAGCTACTTAGGAGAAAGAAGCAGAAAGACAGCAAGTCCAAGGCCACTCTAGGCAAAGAGAGTGACAACACCCTATCTCAAATCAAAGAAAAACACTGAAACCCAACCCTAACTAATATATGAAGAAGAATAAAATAGGAGGAAACAAAAAAAATTGAAACTGAAGGTGACCCTGAATAAGGAAAAGGAAGACAGAAACTAGACCAAGGGAAAGAAAGAGAAAATTCAGCCTCAGGCCTCACTCAAATCTACAGAGAGGTCCTTTGCAGGGTGGAGGAAAAGGTCAGTCCTGTTTCAAATACCTTCCCCACAGGCACTGGGCTCCACGTTAGGCAGTGTTTGCCCATCCTGTAGGCTACAGTACTCAGGGCAGCTTTCCTGTGGACCTGTGGATTGTGGTTCCTCCCAATATACACAGTGCCCTAGATAAGCACTGTTTTCTGTAAACGTAGGCAGGAGAAAGCAGGCAGTACTTCAAACACCTCCCATCCTCTTCTAGAAATAACCTTTCCCTGAGGCAAAACGCTACCACGGAAAACAAACCAACTGGAATGGCCGTGGAGGGCGGGAGGGGGGGGGGATAGGGAATGGCTGAAAACTGTTTTAATAGAACACAGAAAGAGCCTTGTTTCCTAAGCTACTCAAACCCAAACAAAAATAGCTCCACTTTGAGAAGTGCTCACTCTCAGCTCTGGGGTGGCAGGACCAGACATGCGCACACCTGCCCACTGACCCCTCTACAGAAAACGTCACCAACTCAGCTCAACTTCCTTTCTCTTTTAATTTTCTCTACTGAAAAAAAAAAACAAAAGACAGCCCACACTTTCAAAGCTGAGTGTCATCACTATTCTTAGCAGAAGTCTGTCTTTTATATCAAGAAAACCTCATTGTGCAAATGTTGCTAGCTCACAAGAGATTGATAAAACAAACAAATACTGTGAAAATCAGTGAGTTCTCTAGTAGTGAGTTCTCCAGTACCAGCCCTCTTCTCCAAAATTGGATTAAAAGATTTCCCATGTGGAATTTCCAGAGTTATCTCACTTGGTGTTTTATGCTCTGATCCACAACTCAAACTCCTGCTCTGATCCATAGTCCTCGGCTACCTTTTTACATAGGACTAGTTTCATGTTTTCTCTCTCATTTTTCAATGGATGCATCCATTTAACAAATATTTATTGAATGCTTATGATATATTTTCCATATGGGAAGTTACTAGTGAACCAAACAAAGACCACTGCTTCATGTCTGTATGTGTGGCTGGTGTGTGTGGGGGGGGGGAGGGTGTATGTGTCCTCAATAAAATAGAATGTTTTAGCTAGACTCAAGCCTGTAATCTTAGCTGCTTGGGAGGCAGAGATTGGAGGATTGACATTTGAGATCTACTCAGACAAAAAAGAAGTGTGAGAGCCGGGCGCTGGTGGCTCACGCCTGTAATCCTAGCTACTCAGGAGGCTGAGATCTGAGGATCCCGGTTCAAAGCCAGCCCGGGCAGGAGAGACTGTGAGACTCCAATCTCCAATAAACCACCAGAAAACCGGAAGTGGCGCTGTAGCTCAAGTGGTAGAGCGCTCGCCTTGAGCTGAAGAGCTGAGGGACAGCGCCCAGGCCCAGAGTTCAAGCCCCACGACCCAAAAAAAAAAAAAAAAAAAAGAAGTGTGAGAGCCCCCTATCTTAACCAACGATTGGGTATAGAGGTGTGCACCTGTCATCCCAGCTGCTGGGAAGCAGGATGGCTGGTGCAATAGCACATACCTCTTTACCCCACAAGTGGGAGACTGGGAAGCCCAGACTCAACCAGGTGCAAATCAAGACCTACCTTGAAAATAACTGATACAAAAGGAGACCCAAGGCATAGGTCAACAGTAGAGTGCCTGCCTAGCAAGCATGTTCAGTCCCCAGAAGTGATTTAATTTTTTATTTTTTGTAGTACTGGTACTTCAACACAAGCCTCAAGCTTGCTCAGCTTGCTTGCTCAGCTGGTGCTCTGGAACCACATCTCTAGATTGGCGTTTTGCTAGTCACTTTGGAGATAGAATCTCCTAGATTTTTGTGTTTGGACTGGCATTGAACCACAATCTTCCAGCTCTCAATCTCCTGAGAAGCTAGGATTGTATGACCACAGGTGCCTGGCTCTCCGTTGTGAATCTTTATTCTATAATTTGATATAGGCACTTACTAAATTGTTATGTAATTTGTAATAAGCTTATTAAATATAGGCACTTATTAAATCTTTAGCATCAGTACTATATGTTTTTTTTCTCTCTCTCTCTCTCTCTCTTTTCTGCTTCCCTCAAGGGGAAATAATTTCATTTTTGACCTTTAAAAGAAAAAAATCCAAAACTATCTATATTGTTACAGTAAAATATATTGTATGCATTTTACAAAATGATACGTTAAGACAAGAAGGAAATTTCTCCTGTTGAATCAGGCTGCTTTAGACTAGACTGTGACCTTTAGACAGAGACAAATGCAGTGGTTATCTAATTGGATAATGAAAGCAGCTCTTTCCTTAAGGGCAAAGGTCATAATTAGGCTGATTTTGTAGTCTAGCATACAGGTATGATTCAAGGAAAGCCTGTATTTTGTGGATCTTAATATATATGCTACCTAGAAGGGCTTAATAACTAAGCTACTCAATAAACATTTGCCATATGAATGAATATTTGCAATCATCTGATGCATTTTTATTAACACAAGAACAATGTGTAGCTATTTTTTTTAAAAGACAGTCTAAAAGTTTTGATGAGCTAAGGAGCTTTAAGAAATGCAAGGTCAATTTCTAATTCAAATGAAACGTTTCTTCTCATGTTTCTCCCCCGCCCCCCCCCCCGTGACTCTGATGGGGAAACTTTTATCAGTGAACAAGAAGTTGCAAATATTGAGTATCTAGTGCACGTAAAGTTGGGCAGAGATCCAGTTTTAGTTGGCAAGATATCCTGAAGTAGTAGCCCTGTGCCATTTTGTAAAACTAAGAGATGAATGGTAAAACTGATTGGTATTATTTAGCTCATCTTAACCATTTTAATCTTTCCTTTGAAGATGACCGAGTCCTTCATTCTGGGTTGATAACACTAAAATCACTTCTTTCCTCCATCTTTCCAACTACAGCATCAAGAAAGGCTTTGTAAGCCACACACCAGTGGCGCATGCCTATAATCCATGCCTATAATCCTCAGGAAGCTGAGATCTGAGGATCGCGGTTGAAAGCCTGAGTGAGCATACAAAATTGTGAGACCCTTTTCCCCAAGTAACCCACAAAAAACCAGAAATGAAGGTGTGATACACACACACACACACACACACACACACACACACACACAGCTTGTGCCAGGAAACACACACACACACACACACAGCTTGTGCCAGGAAACACACACACACACACACACACACACACACAGCTTGTGCCAGGAAAGCTACCCGTCTCCAGATGTTTGAAATCCATGATGTTTCTCAGCCAGGGAACAGATGTGGAAGGCTCACCTGAGAAGGTGCACTACAGGATAGGCCAGACAGCTCACTGATGCGGGCGGCAGCGGTGGGGTTGCTGGAGCTGATGAGGACGGGGGGGCTGATTTCCATGGAGTGGCGGTGCTGGGAGGCCTGGGAGGACTTGCTTGCCATGGTGAGGGAGGTGAAGGAGTGGCGCTTTTTGGTGTTCTTCTTGGTGTCGGAGTGCTTGGGGGCCGCGCTGCCCTGGACCGCTGCCGAGGTACATTCTCCTGCGTCCCCTCCTGCAGTGGGGGGCTTATCCCATTCTATCAGCTGCTTGGCAGCCGAGTTAAACTGCAAAAGGCATCAACAAGCCAACACAACAAGGTGAGACGGTTCTGAGAGATCGATTTCCAACCTGTTTTTATCTAAAATCTGAAGTCAGCACCTCAACATCTGCTTGTGCGGGACAATGTTTTCTTTCTCTCGATACTGAGACCTCATGGTGCCCATGTTGCGGGAGATACTGAATCAAGAACATTTAATGCCAACGCAGACTCCAAGGTACAAACATTTTTTTCCCTAAGAATATTTATAACATCTAATTTTAACATTTGCCGGTAATAAATGAAGATTGCAGTCAGTTCACAGATGGCATTCAGAATAGAGCAATCAGTCAATAGGGAATTCAGGGTTGTTTTTTGTTTTGTTTTGGTCTGGTTGTATAACCTATTACCCAGTCATGAGGGGCAACTCTTGGTAAGAAAGAGCTAGAGTGAAGAATGAAACACTTCAGGAATAATACTTGTACCCCTCCCCCAAACAAACTGACCTCTTTGGTTGTCTATCTACATCTTGGAGGACCTTCCCCAAAAAGACTGGATGAAATTATTTTTTTTGTTGTTGGTCATAGGGCCTAAACTCTGGGCCTGGGCACTGTCCTTTAGCTCTTCAGCTCAAGGCTAGCACTCTACCACTTTAGCCACAGTGCCATTTTGGACCTTTTTCTGCTTATGTGGTGCTGAGGAATCGAACCCAGGGCCTCATGCATGTAAGGCAAGCACTCTACCACTGAACCACCTTCCCAGCCCCTGGATGAAATTCTTAACATTTTGGTCAGGTGATGGTGTCAATGACCTTCATGCCTGCTTAAATTTTAAATCCTAACAGGGTAAGCCATGAAATGCAAGCTACCATGCTGATCTATTTTAAAATTCCCATTGTAAAGTCAGAGTACAAGGGGTCAGTGTCTGGCTGGCCTGATAAGATCAGCAAGGAAGGAAAGAACATTCGCTTTTTGTTTTCCCTAAGGGCAAGGGAAACATTTCCAAAAAGCTTCAGTGATCACAAACTTCATCTAAGGTATGGTAGTAAAGGGAACCCATTGAACGCTTCACTTTCCACAGTAAACATTTAACAGGTCACCCAAGTAACATTCAGAGATAGAAAGTTCTCTATCTCAGCATCACAGTCAGTCAGACTTCACCAATGCCTTTCTAAAAACATACCCTCATCTAAGCTTTTTCCTAGTCAATTTGTACTGACCGTTGTCTTCTCACCTCGTGGATGACTCTGCCCTACTCGGATAATGGAAATCCTATCAGTCAATATTTAACAAAGAAATAAACTTGCTTTCCCATGGTCCCAAAGCTGTGCTAATTACAGCTCCAAAGCCGCCCGGCGCTTCTACAAACACAGCAAGCTGTGTTCCAGAGGCTCCTGGGGATGAGAATTCAGGTGACTTGTCTGAGCCACAATTAGTAGGACAAATCGTTTCCAAACACGAACATCTCTTCTTCACTTCAAGGACGGTTTGGTTTTGTTTTCACAGAATAAGCTCTCAAGAATAATCGGTGGCAAGGCCAGAATACCACGTTACCAACACATGGCGTGGTGGGGGACAACTAGCAGTAGAAAGATGATCCTGAAGCTTTCTGCAGTGTGTTTAGGGATGAAAGAATGAGTTGGGCAAAAGGTCTTATGGGAACACTACATTGGTGTTAGGAGATCCACATTTATAAATCCTATCTTAGTCTCACCATCCCATCTTCTGAGTGGTCTCCAAGAAATCAAATGCCCAAAGGTAGCCAAGTAGACTTTACTCATTGGGGTATGAGTAACTCCAGCCTAAAGAGTACAGCTCTAAGCTAGGCCTGGATGACTCACACTTATAATCCTAGCTACTCATACTCAGAAGGCTGAGATCTGAGGATTGTGGTTCAATGCCAGCTCTGGCAGCAAAGTTCCTAAGACCTTTATCTTCAATAAACTATCCGAAAAAAAAGCCTGAAGTGGCGCTGTGGCTCAAGTGGTAGAGAACTAGTCTTGAGCAAAAGATGCTCAGAGACAGCACCCAGGAGTAGCAGGCACGCACACACACACACACACATACACACACACACACACACACACACACACACACACAGAACAGAGCTCTGACAAACTGCAGGGAATCACATGGAGCTGGGGACAGGGAGCAAAGCAGACTGATAAGCAACTTCATTTTCCCCTCACCAAACTCAGTGCTGTTATACATGCCCTCCACCCCCCATGGTGCTGGGTTGGAACCCAGGGCCAAGATGTGTTTAGACAAGTGCTCTATCACTAAGCCACTCATCAGTTAGGATTGGTAATAGTGATTGTGGCTACCTTGGCAGTCCCAAAGAAAATCCTGATTGCTCTTGGTGAAAGCATCAGGCAAATCAGGCACAAAGTTTAAAAGGCTCTGTTGTAAGTATACATTATTGGTAACAATGAGAAAAAGGGTCTGACAGCTTTTAGTTTGATTTTGATGAAATGTGCAAACATCTGCTTGAACTGAGTAGTACGGGCTTTCTGTGACATTTACCTAACTATGATCTTCCAAGTTGAAAGTGCTCTGAGCAAGCTGTGCCCTGGTGGCCCACGTCTTTCTGTAATCCTAGCTATTCAGAAGTGTGAGATTTGAGGATCTGGGTTCAAAGCTAGCTCAGGTAGAAAAGTCCATGGGACTCTTTATTTCCAGTGAACCACCTCAAAGAGCCATTGGTTCAGTGGTACAGTGACAGCTTTGATTGAAAAGCTAAGGGAGAGAGCCACGCCCTGAGTTCAAGCCTCAATACCAACACATACACACACACACACACACACACACACACACACACACACAGGAAACCTGGCACAGGATAGTGATCTTTACAATTTTACATACTCACTTATGTCTTCTCACACACAAGAAACGTCCAGCGTGTATGTTAAGACTTTATTGTAAAAAGAAATGTTCTATTACATTTAGGGAAAGTAGAGTGTTTTGTGAAACATTTTCTTCCATTACCAAGAAATTTTTCTCGATTTTATAATGGATATATTTCTGTTCCAGTTAGCCCTGCACACAAAGGCCCGGAACAGCACAGACAATTCATGCCGTCTTCTTCATAGGACACCCGATGACGGCCTTAGTTAGTCCCAGTAACTTGAATGTATACAGCAATATCATAAATTCTCTCATAAAAATTTTCAAAGCTATTGAAGCATGATGGCTTTGATGAATTTGTGGTAACCTCAGCTATTTGAAACTGGGTAGTGAATCATTCCAAACAGTTAGCCTTTCACACGGTAGAACCTGAAATGATTTTGTAGTTTTTCAGAAGTCACGGTGTCCTAAGCCAAGCTGGGCAACAGGAGTGACTGGGTAGCCATTGTTAGGAGCCAGTCCTCTGACTCGGAAGAGAGAAGAGCAAGGGGCAGGACAGGCCACCCTCATCCTCCAATCACTGGCTGTCTCCTTAAACAAGACACTTGTCTAAAAATAAAACGATCAAAACCATTAACTTAATTATGGTCTAGCTACTTGAGTGCTTATTAGTTAGCCAAAACACTGAGGGTTAGTAGTACTATAATTATGTGGAGAAAGGCAAAAATCATACCTGACACATCACAGATGCAAAAGGCAAATGAATGGATAGCTACTAATCAAAATTATACACAGTGAGACTTAAATTTATTCCGTTCCTTTCCAAGTGTTTTGGAGTATGATTAGATTATAGGAGTAAAATAATTTAAACTATTCTTTATGGATAATACTTCTCAAGGAACAAAGGAGAAACAAATAAATCATCTACACATGTAACAATACTCTTAGCACGTTCCAGGTCTACAACAATGGTAGAAACTGAGTATTATAGATAATTGAAGCAAGGAGAGCATTGGTTTGCTTTGGTTTTAAAGAATCTGTTTTGTTGCCTAGAAATATTAAGAAGGAAAGGCTTCATGAGAAATGATTGTATTTATTTAAACCTTGGCTAAAAAGTGAATTTGTGTGTGTGTGTGTGTGTGTGTGTGTTGGGCTTGAACTCAGCATCTAGCTGCTCTTGCTTGGCATCTTCTCTCAAGGCTGGTGCTCTACCACTTGAACCATACCTAGGGTTGAGCATTTTTCTTGTTGATTTAAGAGTCCCCCAGATTCTTCCCAGCCTGGCTTTGAACTATGGTCCTCAGATCTCAGCCTGCTGCGTAACTAATATTACAAGGCTTGAACAATCAGGAACGGCTGTCTGGGCAAGGGCAGGGCTTTTTAAATTTTGTTTTGTTTTTTTAACAAGTCTATACACAAAGAAATATCCCAAATGAGCGGTAAAGGTGGCAATTCAAAGGCATGATTCCAGGGGTGATCAATCGAACTAAGCTGGGGCTCTGGTCCCCGCACAGGAATGAGGAACTGGGGACTGCTTCATTATTGGACACCATTTGGTCACTATCCTGAGTCTGTGATGACGCCGGGCAGAAGATCTGCATTTTTATGTCCCATGAAACAACACCCAGTACAGGAACCTATCCATTCATGGGTGAAAAAAGTCAATAAACCTCAACTGATCTTTACCGACTCAGCTCCAGAATGCTTTCCACCTGGAAAACAAAAGGAATCTCTTAAATTAGAAAGCGGCTGCTCAATAATGGATGGGGCATAAACGACACTGAAGTGTCTTATGAATCTCAGTGACTCCAGTGCAGAAGAGGGTCTGTCTGTGGTAGTATAGATATGAGGTTGCTGCTCTTGGAGCTCAGAGAGCTGACTTTGCTAGAGATCATTTTCCTTCGTCCATTGTGGTAGAGCAGAAGGAAAAGCAGCAATTACTTCTATCAAGCTGGTAACATTCACAAGATATGAAAAACCTGCTCTAGGGACCCGGCCGGCCCCCGGTGCTTAAAAGCAACACTAACAAAAGACGACTCAAAAGCAGACCCAATGTATTCAGTCAGAATTAAGGAAGAAATGATGGTGCTAAGCAACAGAGTAATTCTCCCTTCCTGATTTCTCAACAATATCTCTAAATTTCACTTCCCTAAATTAACTTACTTCAAAGTTGAAGGGGGCA